TTTACATCAATAGTATCAAATCCACAATAATCTCGTGCAAGTCCTAACATTGGTTGAACAGCATGAAGTAATGTTGTTTCTCCGCATGTTTTTAAAACAAAATGTGAACGAAAAATAAACATGCTTGATTCGCTTAATACATAAGTATCTGTTGTTGCTGTTTGAGCATATTTTAATACTTTACAATTAACTAAATTTAATACTTCTTCAATAAGCTCCCTAAAATAATCAGAAGAAAAAAACAATTACAAATTTAATATTTAAACTAATTACCGTGGTATATCTCGTAAATCATTTCGTGGTGTTTGTTTGCCCGTATCATTTGTACTTGAAGTAAACCAAATTTCCAATAATTTTTCTGCACCTTCGAAGAAATGACCAGTCATTCGTTTTGATATATTTTATCAAATTGTTCGATGATTGACGATAAAACAGTAAGGTTTTTTTTTCTACAATTATACGATTATATTATTGCTCTTATATATACATAGACGGATCAGTAGATACAATGTCAACATTACATTCTTTCTCTCTTTTTCTTTTCTTTTTTTCTCCTCTGTTTTTTTTCTTCTTTTCCCTTCGTATTCGTTGAATAGCCATCGAAACGATTATATGGAGTGCCAAATTACTCTAGTAAGTAATCGGTAGTAATATAAAAAAGGAATCGCCTTTTCTCTCTTTTCTATTCTCGTTTCTTTTCTTTTTCTTCTTTGCTCAAAAACATTACACAAAAATAATCTGTACATAAGTAAAAATAAGATAGAAAAGTAGTCAAACTTATTTATTTAACATATCCTCTTCTCACGTATTTTTATATGAGTCAGATAATGATAATTAAGCCAATATAAGGTATTTTGGTAAAAATATAATAACCAGTAAGGACGTAGAAAAAAGAGTCACGGTATTTTTTCTCGTCATTATAAAAAGAAAATTATTTTTTAAAACGCAAATGCCAAAGAGCAAAAGTATATTGGGTGCCTAGTATAATTACCTTTGATTAACCCTATATAGAAATATTTCTCTTGATCGAAGTTAAACAAAGAAACAAAAATATGTGTATATATTTAGACGTAATACAGACTTATTTGCACATATAGTATTAAAGCGCACATATAAAAACGCAAATTACAATAAAAAAAAAAGAATGAGAATATATATATATATGTATATCGGACAATAAAAGGTTTCTTGATTGAGCGATATGAAAAATAATACAAAAAGTTACATTCGAGAGCCTCGTTCTTGTAAAATCTAGAATGAAAAAAGAAATAAATTTGTTACCTTTCTTTTCTCTCTCTTACTTTAACCCGTGGAGATAAACAAGCATTGGTCTCCTCTCGCAATCCTCGATCGTATTGTTTGGATACAATACATAAAAATTCACCTTCAGGATATATATAACTTGAACCAACCGGTGAATGACCAATAAGCTAAATGAAATTTTGTTTTTAAATATGTCTACCAATCAAAATCTAACTTATTTGTTTCTGTAAAACTTAAAAATTATCCTTTTTTTGTTATTTAGAATTTTAAAGTATCTACTTTCTTGATAAAAATATTTATAAGAACCTGTTCAAATTTCCATCCATCACTTAATGAAGACATTAATTGTGTAATTTCTTTTTCTTTACATTGCATTACTCGATAAACACGATTTGCTGTACCCTAAATAAAATAATTAATATAACAAACTCTATTTCAAATAGATCGATAATAATTTTTGTCTTCAATTCGTTCTTTATTTTTCTGGACCTTGGTAAATAGTATTCTATCATAAATTCCATCGAGTCTCAAAAGCAGATAAATATGACATCATAAGTATATACAACATTCTTAAATTACTGGCATTGCCAGTATTGGAATTTATGTATGAACAACACTTACATCATCCATTTTTCGTTTATCTCGTTCTCGAATTCTTTCTTTAACAAGTTCGATTAATGTTTGTATATTATAAAATTCTGCTTCTTCTAATACACCTTCTTCAACGAGATTAGCTTCGAGAATTAATTTCCCATGACGAAGATAACTAAAATACAAGAAACAATTCTCTATAGAATTATTTGTTTTTTTGGAAAAATATTTCTTTGATTACTTTAAAATAACATTAAAATAATTTGGATCACGATCAATTAAATAACCACCTTTCGCATCCTTTGAAAACATACGATTAATAATTTAATATTATTTAATTAATAAAAAACTTACAACATCAGTTTTAAGATCAGATTCTGATTGACATAAACGACCAAGAAATGATTCTTCTTTTAATAATGTTGAACGTGTTGTAAGAAAATGTCTACCACCAACATTTAATAAAATCCAATCACCTTTTGTATCAAATAATTTCGACTGTGTATCTATATTACTAAGCGATACTGTTTCACTGTTTTCCTCAACTGTTAACATTCTATAAAAAGAAAACATTCAGAATCTTTTCATTCATAAAAAATTCTCTCTTAACGATGTATACTATTCAATCTTCTTACTATACGGTAAAGGTAAATATTGATTGATTATGAACTAGATCCAATGGATGTTTACTAGATGGCAGTAATGAATGGTATAAATAGAAGTTTTTTTGAAATGAAACATCTCGGAAACATAATAGTATTTATTTATTTTTCTGTATCTCATGTCTTGAAAATTGAGATAATTATCTCTTATTTTACTAATTAAAAAATAAATTTCTAAATTAACCTTATTACTTATCTTCTTATAAATGCGGTAAACATATGTAATAGTCTTATTAGAATCATTTCCATAGTGATTTATAAAAGTATAATTTCTACAAGGGGTTTTCAAGTACAATACTCAGACGAATTTGTACTGACTCATTTATTTTGAAAGTACTGATGAAGTTTACGAAAAGAATACGGAGAAATAATAATAATAACATACTTTGCCTTTTTTGCTATATTTTTTTGTGGGTAGAATAGTTTGAGTAAGCTCACTATATTTTTGTTATAATTGACAAACTAATAGAATGGTATTCCATCTCTTTAATGGTTATATAATTGAACCTCTGGATAGAACATGGATATGAGACGGAACGAGTCAAATGAACTTAAATATTATCTATATAGTTTATGTAATTATACTAAGCTCTCATTAGTGACAAGGTCTTTTCTTTTTTGTTAAAAACATGTCGTTGATAGATTAGATAGAATATCTATAATGAAACAAATTATATGTATGAAATAATCATAGAAATCTATGAGTTTTTTTTTCTTCTTCTTCTTCTTCATAAATAATAAATTCAAGAAATGATAATGTTAAATGTAGCAAAATATGTATATATATTTTAATCCTATCTGACAGGACAATTTCAGGTTTTTAAACCCTAAGGAAAAATAGACGATATTTTAATAATTATATAGACAATCGTATTAATAATTCACATGTTTAGAAATGTCTATTACAATGATTATGAGATAAACATGATGGTCTCCATGGTACGATCTTCTTACATGAATTTTATTTGCTATATATAGCCAGATAGTTACATTAAATAAAAAGAAACATGTTAATGTATCATTGGAAGAAACAAATAATCTCTCTTTTATAAAACAAACAAAAAAAACGTATAACTTTAGTTTGTAAAAGATGGCACGGAAGTAGCGTCACCGGTAGCATTAAAATCTGATTGTCGAATAATATTCTGAAGCATACTTATAATTTCAATATTTAATTGAGCGATACCATTCGAAGCTAAACCAAAATCAAGAAAACCATGTGGCCATTCATCGACTACGGTTATATGATGAGAAACTTTGAGTGAAGATAAGCGACGTGCAAATTCAACATTATCATCAATAAATGGATCTTTATAAAGATAAAATAAATTTTTTTTGATATTAAGTTTTTTTACTTACCACGTGCACACGGCTAAAATAAACAAGAAAATAAAAATCAGTACTTTAAACGTAAATAATTAGTACAAAAAGAAAGTAAGCAGAAGAAAATTTTTAGTCATTAATAATTGGATTTATCATTGTTGTTAGATTCTTTTTTTTCTTTGATAATAAAAATCGTTGATTAATATTATATTTTCGTGCTAAATCGCGCATTAAATGATCGCTTGCACGTTTACAATAATTATTTGCACTGTAAAAATTTAAAAAACCGTGTGGTAAATTATTTATAATAACTAAATGATGTTCAACAGATAATAGACGAAGATGACGAGCAAATGTTATTGAATCATCCAATAATGGATCAAGATGACATCCCTGAAAAGTTTGAATTTTTTCTGTCAGATATTAGGTTAATTATTAGAATTTGTTAATACAAATAATAAGAAGAAAAACAATAATTAGCTAAAGCAGCAATGAGCATGAAAGCACTTACAATTAGATAAGTTGTAGGAAATTGTCGTAGAGTGTCATCAGAAGCACGTAATGGTGACATGTGTGGATGATTTGGTAATGTTGATTCACGTAATTTTCGTAGAAGATATGCTTGACGTGAACCAACGATATCAGCTGGAAAAACAAAATTTTAAAGATTTATCAATATTTATTTAATTTTAACTTAAATATACTTAATCGAGCATAATATGTATCCTCATGCATTTGTTGTTTATCAGTAGGAATTTCAAATGAATTATCAGTTATATCTTTATTATCATTCTTAGTTTTATTAATGATTGTTTTCGTTGAAATTTCATCTCGGGGTGGTACATTATCAGATTTAATACCAGCATATGCAGCAAGACAACGCCAAAGAAAACCTGTATTTAATAATGGATCCATAATAGCCATTAATCGTGAGGGTGATAAGCTAAATTAATGATATATCATATTTTTAATGAATCAAATAGAAGAATCATTAATTACCTATATCCAAGTAGGAATGGTGTATAAAAACAAATAATTGCATCTGGTTTTCTTAGACCAGCTTCAATTGCTTTTATTGTAACAATTGTTATTAGATTTCCACCAGCACTATCACCAGCTAATAAAATTGTTTTGCCTGTCCATCCAAGTTTACTTGCATTCTTTAAAATCCATGCATACGCATAATAACATTCTTCAATAGCACGAGGAAATGGATATTCAGGTGCAAGTGAATAATCAACAGATACAATGGGTATGTCAAGACCTAATGCCCATGGTTTTAAATAGACCTAGAAGAAAATATGTCGTTTTCTATACAAAAATCAATGTTATATACTTCATGAGTTGTTGATGAAGTAGCTATAAAACCACCACCATGAACATGCATCAGAAGTTGATCACTCATTGGTGAGATTTTAGTTGATGATGTTTCCAGATCCGTCTTTTTCAATGGTAATTCATTCATACCTTCTCGTATTTGATTTGATAATAATTTAATATTAACCAGTTGTTTTGGTTGTTTACTACCCGAACCTGTTGGATTATCTGATCCAACTCCAATATTACCTGCTGCACGTTCTTCTGGTTCATCAGACGAAGCGCCTGCACTTGGTGGCGGAACAATAATTGAATCAATTTCAATAGGTTCAGGTCCAATTTGAAAGTATTTCGATACAGTTACATTTGGAGCAATATAACGTGAACCCATCTTAATATAATCATGATCGACGAGATTCCAAAATGATTTACAAAATAAATAATCACAATCACGAAAGATAGCAGCACACTAAAAACAAAAAATAAGTTATTTAAAAAGAAAATTTTCTGAAAATAAAGTATTCAACCTTTTTTGCTCTTTGTTCAGGAAATAAAAGATATTTTGGTGCAGTTGCAAGACTAGCTGCTGCAAATGGTATTGATCGATTATATGTCTCATGATAAGTAGCCAGACCAGCTAGTAGAAAAGTAAGTATTGTTTGCATTGATTGTGCAAACTTAAATGAATTATGATAAATAAGAATAAGAAAATGCATATCCTTACTTGAAATCCACATGTTCTACCAAAAAAATATTCTGAATCAAAAGCAACTATTTTAAAATAATCCAATTCAATATCTAATGGTACTTTATCAGCATCAATCTAAATGAAAAGAAAATAGAATAACATCTTTTCAACTGTAATTTCTTTTATTATTTACACAGAGATTCTTATTTTCAGAATAACTAATCATTTTAACAGCAAATGATAGAAGGTGTTGCATTCCTATAAGAACTTTCGTCCAAGATTCTAAATCTTGAAATAATCGAGATGAATACATGAGATTGAATAAAAGACCAACACGTTTTGTATCAACTTGTCGCAGTATATCGAGTGTTCTTAAACATGCTTGACCATGTGATGTTACTAATGTTCGATAACCATTAGCACGAATCTGTTATCAAAATAAAAATGTAAGATACATATTACGTTTATTTATCGGTGTGAGTTTATTTTACCTCAGGACTATAATCAAAATAATGAAAACTATCTGTTAGCAATTGAATAAGTGGTACAGATAATTCAAGTGAATGTAAAATTTGAATTAATAAACGTTCAAATCGTCGACATACATCAGTTGTTTGTTGAGAAAAATAATGACAATTAATTTCTGCTAATTCACTTAATTGTTTATATGTTACATCAAAATTGTAATCTAAATCAACTGTTTCTGATGGTGATTCTATTGAAGTAACTGTCGTTGTTGCAGATTTTGATATATGATTTAAACCGGACGGAGTTGTTGATGAACTACGCATTGTTAAAGTTGAATTTATTGCAAATGGACTTGTATTTAATAAATTTGGTGCAGATAATGGAGATTTTGGTGAAATTGAACGATTCCGTTTTGGTAATATATGTTTTGTTAGTGGTTTGAAAAATGAAGAGGATGTGGAGGATTTTTCATTATTATCAATTGATATTGTTGGAATACTATTACGTGATTGTCTTGTTAAAGAAGACATAAGACGACTTGCAGCAGCAATTGGTCCTACTGATAGACGATCAGTAAAGGACCCTGATCTTCGTTCTTTTGGATCTATTGAATCACCATCGGGAGATAATTCTTCGTTAGTAAGCATACTAAATAAATATATTCGATATTTATTACATTAAAGATACAAAAAAATAAAAAAGATGCAAAAAAACAAACAAAATATACTAATGTTATATTTAGATTATATAGGAAATTTACATCAACACTTACTTAAACTAAATAAATACAGGAAATATTCTAAATATAATTTTAAAAAAATATATTAAAAACAAACGAAGAATATGAGTAATCAATAAGTCATATAAGAAAATGTGTTTTCTCGCATTTATTGTTTATTCGTGCATTACTCTTATTTTTGCTTCATTACATAAATATATTTTAACCTTTACAGGTGAATATTTTTTTCATAGTCATGCACTGGGTCAACTGTTTTTTCATTAACAAATAGGATTGCTATATGATACATTTCGTTATTAACTAATTATTCGTCATAAAATATATCCTAAGAATAATATTACTAATAGTTATACAAATTTATTCTCTGCTTGTCATCAAAAATACATTCTTTTTGACATTAGTATACAAAAATATGTTCGTATTTTTTTTCATTCTACATTATAAATACTATGACTCACCAAGTCGGAAATGGTACTACTATAGTTGTCATTTTGTACTGTTACTATAGATTGTAGAGTTTCACTGTTGGTTGGTTGGCAATGGAAAAAAACATCCGATAGATTTCACGTGTGCGTAAAAGCAAAAGAATGCGTAGGAAGAAACGATTGCAACACGTTCTGTATTGTTTTGTTCTGATTCAATTATAATATGTTGCTTGTCAATGTTCTATATATCTGTGTGATATAAATAGTTTCATATGAAAGAAAAAAGATATATTCTAAAAAGAAAATGACGCCATTAGCTGGTGATCTGTTGTTTATGAATCAATGATACTAATTATCATAGTATAGTATGACAATAGTTATTGTAAATATATAATTGCTTTTTTTTGCCTTTATATTTTCTTGAATATGTCTCCAGATAATATACTAATGGGTAATGAGAGATTTGAAGCATTTTATCAGTCGTCTCAAGTACCCACTAAGAATTGTCAAAAGATATTATTTTACTAATTTAAATATTTTGCAGGCATAAAAAGTTATTTTCGTATCGGATCAAACAAATAACATTACATGGTAGAGATTTACCTATTATATTACTATTATAAGTAATTATCACGTAACAGAAACAAAACAATTAATTTATATCATTCTTGTCTTGTTTTGTATTGATGAAATAAACGTCCATTTAGATTATTTTATACAGCCTTTATTAAAAATTTTCTTTTTGTTAATTATTCTATTATGATTTTTACAATAGATGTCGTAAGATATTTTATTATGTATTACATATAAAACTGTTCAAAATTAGATATTTGTCGACGACTGAAGAATATCTCAGAAGAGTTGCATTATGTTCAATGTTGTAAATCAGAACGAATGAAGAGTAACATTTAAATGTATACGCTTTTTTTTGCTGAAAACAATCTTTTAAGATTTGAAGAATCAAAGACATTATTCTTATAATATTTCATTGTATATAGGGTTTGTCTTTATGACTCGATAATTAAATCTTATATACTGATTACATACACTGTAAAATAATACTCGGAGAATCAATATATATCAATAGTCCAACCAGAAAAGCATTTGAAATGTTTTTTTCTGTATTTCTATTAATCTGTCTTGAAATTTTGTTGCTTCCTCATCGAATTAAGGGTATGGGTGAATAGAATATGGTCGCATCCACATCCTAGTTTTGTTATCACACAGTTCTCTTAATCATTTAATACATTTCTCAATTGTGAGAGTGTTGATTTTATATAGGCACCGTTATAAAATTGAGAATATAAAAAGCATATAGACTTCATAAAATTTTATGAATGACTGAAAGAAGATAGAAACATCTATAACACATCGGATCTAACAATTTTGCTTACTATTACACTTTAAAATTATTCACAATATAAGAAAAATGTGAATATGCATTAGCAATGCGTTCAGGTTGAGGATTTTCCACAAGGATGAGTAGTCTTCTCACGCGATAGTCGCCGAGTCTACGAGAATTTATTAAGAATTGCTTAGTTTGATTTCGTCTGCCCATTCATACACTCGAGCAGATCAATTAAGAAAGCAAAATATTCAGTATCAGTTACCCCGTTCGGTTGTATACACGTCTAGGTAAATCAGTAAAAGTAAGTCTCAATAAAACTCTCCTGAAATTTTAGGGATTGTTTCAAAATAAAACCTCTTATCTGTGTCACGGATTTTTTACTCTAATTGTATCCCTAGTAACTATTGAGAAAAAAGGTTTTAATAACAGGAAAGAAATCTTGATCAAAAATCCCATTGAGACAATATTTTTAAAAAAGCAGAAAAACTTCAAAAAGCAGAAGAAGTGGCAACACTACTAAAGACATAGACGACATCGTACTCATACTGACATTCTCAGAAAGAAAAAAAGAATAAATTCTGAACATGGATTGCAGTTAAACTAAAAAGGTACAACTATCTTGTACGCGTATACAGTTCAAGTGTAACTTCCTCTTTAAATTTATGCTTCTTACATTGTACCTTTTTTTTCTTCATCAACAAATATAGTTCCAGATACTGTCGTAGAATCAATATAATTAGTCTTAAAAAAGAGAATGAATAGAGTGAGTGGATAGGATATAGTCGAACCCACGGCAGAAACAATAAAGCAATTGATCGAATGAGTCCCAACGAGCAAAAAATCATGTTGACAAAATAATATTAAATAATTTCATCGATCAAATATACATTTTTCTGTGGACCTTGTTGGATTGACATGGTTTGAAACTGACGTTCATTAAAAAAATTCGTTTCACTGCGTTTCATGATTGCGCTTCATTTTTCTCATCTCTTTGCAATTGTGAGAAAAACAAGTTCTTTTTCTCTTTGAATTAAATCATTCTAATTTAAAAGGTGCTTGACATAGAACAGATTATTGATGCATCGACGTTTTCTTTTATTTTATTACAAGAAAAAACTGCGCAAGTAAATAAATCGAGGATTTTGTTCTCTCAATAATCATATAAAGTCAATATCATTGAATTATGGGAGGCACCGTAATTCTTTGATCGACCATCCGAGGTACCATCTGTAATGCATTGGAAACAACACGTCGTTGTCGGCGCCACCATGCGAGTCTCTTGAGTTTAGCTCCAAGTTCAGGTAATGTTCCCGCACAGACGAATGGAAAGAGAAATACAATAAAGTATGAGAAGAATACGAAGTAAACATAAAAATTCAGACCGACATTCGATGGCATACCCAACATCCAAGCGAGACTTATGAGCATATATGGGAGACCAAGCAGGATATAGAGAGTTGAAGTTGATAATAATTGAATTGTCATCTTTCGATGGTTCTGCCAATTAATTCCTTGATGCATTTTATGTTTCTGCCAGAGAACACGCAGAAGAAGAGCGGTGCTGAACAAAGCAATAATTATAGTAGGACCTATTGAGTTAAATGTACGACGCCATATGTTATATGCACGATTCGAACTTAAACATGAACTAACACATAGGACCGATGAATAGTTGAAAGAGTGTTGACAGGGTGGAAAAAAATATGTATAACAATAGAAGATAAGACAATAAACAAGAAGCGTCACTAAAGGAAGATAATGGACAAAAAATCTCTTTCGTTTGGTTGATACCCAACCATCATGAAAGATAAGAATGTGTCGCTCAATTGAAGCCCAAGCAAAGAGTACTAGCTGTATAATAAAGGTTGTGCTATCAATAAAGGACCAAATGAGGCAAAAGATATGCGTCGCTTGCAAAATAGCACCAAACAAATAATAATGAAGAATCCACGTAATGTCTGTCAGCTCAGAAATAAAACCATTGACGAGAAGAATGATAAAAACATGATTGTGAAGAGCACGGCGTAGAGTGCGATCAAAGAGCAGATGATAGAGGACGAAGAGAGAACAGGCTATCGATGAGATTTCTGCAAGGAGAAAAATCCAAAATCGAAGAGGATAAGAAAACGCAATATCGACAGAAGCAGATATTGTTTGGTTTCCGAAATTGTTAGCATTCGACATCTTCAGAAACGTTTAAAAACGCAAATGAGTAGTGTACGAACAAACACGTTGAAGCATCAGAGACGAGAGAGATGCCCATGTTAACTCATGTGAACTGAACATTATTCTGATGTATCTTGTCAGTAATATAAAAGGTTTTCTTCCTCTTCTTTTTTATGACGTCAGCAGAGTGAGTGAGATATTTATGTTAACTCATGTGAACTGAATATTATTCTGATTTATCTCGACATTAATGTGAAAGGTTTTCTTCCTCTTCTTTTTTTATGACGTCAGCAGAGTGAGATGTGCGCAAGATCGTTCACATCGTATTATCAGAAATAGATATGTGAAGCAATGACATTGACGATAACCATTCCATGCTTCGAAGATTTCAATGGTGAAATATCTGAAAACGACATGAATATAGGAAGGTGTCGAACCAGAAAAAGGAATGCTCTTTCTTGGATGTAGGACATGTTCTTTTTTTACATAAACTAGGTTTCTAGATACTATTACAAATGTGAAACTATTAAAAATCACAAGAACCTACACTAATAAGATAATTGACTGTCAAATTCGAGTTTTTTATAAAATATTTCAGTCATACGTAATCTTTCGAGGATCAGATTTTCGGTTTTGCTCAATGAATTCGTCTCATTACTTGTTCTCGACTGTTTCTGATCTTGCTTTGTACAGCTGATCGAGATATTGAGAAGAAAATGACAATGGTGTGGATGTGGATGTGGATGGATGTGGACGTGGGTATGGGCCTAGGTCTCGGTGGGGGTGTGGTACGAATACAATACCCACACCCTAACATAGGCACCTTCGTATTTGAATTGTAAATTATAACTTAGGTAAACTTTTTGTGTACCTTTTTTTTCTAAACTAACATAGATGCTTTCGTATTTGTATTATAAATTATAAGTTAGGTAAACGTTTTCTTTTCTTTTCTTTCTAAACTAACATAGATGCCTTCGTATTTGTATTATAAATTATAATTTAGGTAAACTTCTTGTTTTCTTTGCTTTTCCTAAACTAATATAGGTACCTTCGTTTTCTAATGATAAATTATAATTTAGGTAAAATTTTTATTTCCTTTTCTTTCCTAAGTAACATAAGTGCCTTCAGATTTAAACTATAAATTTTGGTTTAAGAAATCTTTCTTTTTAATTATGAGAATACTAGATTTCGAATTGTTTTCCCGTTTATATTTGAAGTTGAATTAGGCGGCTACTCAGCGTGCATGATTTTACAAGCTCTCTGTTTCTATCGTTCCTTTTTTGAAGAAAAATCGAAAAGACTTTCCAACTAAGTTAGTTTCTTCTGCATACATAACTTAATATATCATAATAACATACAAATGAAAGGAAAAGAAATAAAACTAATACAAATATTTACCGATTGAAGATTTTTCATTGAGAAAAAATAGTTTTCCAGTGTCTTGTTATGATAAACAGTTATTTAATCTACATTAAAATACTACAAAACCTTAATTTAATAATTTTAACAGACACACATAATCATATAATGCTTTGATTCGCTTGTCTAATCGAACAACTCATCTAATCATTCTTCGTTTAAATATTGAAGATTAACTTTATTCCATCTGAATGACGTGATAGTTCACTGATATATTGTATAATCTATGAGATTCATTTGACGTATCCATATTTAAATATGAGATAAATTAATATCAATTGAATTATTTTACTTTTCATAGAAACTTTCATTTCCAACCAAATGTTGATTATCTTTTTAAATTCAACTTTATTAGATCGATCGTTTTTTAATGTTATTCTTTTTTCATACAACTCAAAACTTTTATTTGTGAATATACTTGTCTTCAAGTAACATTTAAACACAAGAAAATCATCTCTCCAAATGAATAAATTTCTTTCAAAATAAAAAAAGAAGTCAGGACTGATTTTTCACTAGGTTGATCAAATGAGCTGAGAAAAAAGGTACGCTACACATTGAGAAGAGAAAAAAGAGAGAGAGAAACAAAAAATAGAATTTATTCCTTAACAATTACTTTCTCTTCTATCATGAGTTAAATTCATTTTATCAATTTACAGTTTAGTTGGTGATGGCTTCAACAATAGTTTGCTTATGGCTTTTATTTATGATTATCACACAAGTAGTCGGAGAAGATACACAATCGATGATAATGTCTTTAATGGTTGATTCCACGTTTGAGTGTGCCAACACAACTTGTTTACCATTCATTAATGTTATTACATCCAACATTAGGAATTGTCAAGTAGCTTGTTTAACTCAAAGTCAATGCATAGCAGCCACTTTTTATCGATCAACTTTTAATTGTGAATTATTTGATAATATATTGAACCAAAATGGAAATATGTTGGCTAATATGGATGCGACTAGTATGAGTATTATTAGTGGAACACGATTTCCACCAGGTCAGTATAAATATAACAGATTTATAATAAAATATATCTATGAAACAGGAAAAGTTATTTTCTTCATGAAAAATAATATCAAGTTATCGAGAACTAGCACATCTGTGTATAAATCAGAGAATTGGTTCGACTCAAAATAACGGACAACAAAAAACATTTAGCGAAAACCTGTCTTGAAAATAATTCTTTTTGAATCAAATGATCTTATTTTCCAAATTCTAGTTTGAAAATATCTCAGTAAAATGAAATGTTTATGAGATATGAAATTAAACAATCAATACAATCGAATATTAAGAGAATAATGAAGAAAAATAAGTGAAATAATTATCCGACGGAACGTCTACAGATATTATGCTTTTCATATTCATAAATCTATACAAAATATCGTTGTCTATGAAACAAATTCTCATCAGAGTTCCATAGAAATATAACGTATTGAACAGATCCTTGGGAAATAAATAAGAAATTACAATAGTTTTTTAATTAAGATGATGATGACAGGCAGTTTGAGGTTAGTTCTGCACCTCTTGAAGTCACACAGAAAAACTGAACTTAAACTAGAAATATGACATGTAGAAGTTTTCCTTTGTCTCAGAACGAATCTCTTAACGGTATAATAAGCATACTAAAATAATGAACAATTTGAATTCATTCGATTTTGTGACAGATGTTTATAAACTATAATCTTTCCCCTTTCACTTAAGATTAGTCTCTGATCAGAATATCATCTTAAATAAAAATGAAAAATTTTAAGAAAAGAGTTTATATGAAAATCTTATGAAAATCAATCTCTAAAATTTTCAAAGTTTCATTATTAAAATTATAAATATAAATTCAGTTGGTAAAAATTATTATAATAGAATATTTAATTCTCTATACTGAAAGGAGGGTTATACGCAGAATTGAGTTAACGCCACTGATATTCTAGAAAATAATACTAGAAACTATCGGCTTCAAACTAACGCTCAATGATTTCCTTTGTTGAATGTAAGTGTTTTATAATAAGTGTATCGTTATTTTAATTGTAGCAACTACGACAACAACAACAACAACATCCACTGCATCATCAACAGGTCAGTTATTTAAAACTTAAAAGACTATTAGAAAAAGTCTATGCGGTTAGTATAATGTACACACTACAGTAATGAAATTAGCTAAACTATTTCTCATCCGTGATTATTAGATCATATATAATATTTCTCGATAAGATGGTCGGAAAAATATATTCAGAACATCTCAGTTATTATATCTCGAAAACTTATTTATTTCTACCACAGATTCTTAACAGACATGTCGGATGTAGTGGATTAATTAAGGTATGCATTTAATTAGCTAACCATTAATTAACTTTGGTTAAACACAATGAGATTGAACAATTTGTTTTGTAGGTTTCAACCGTGACCCATACAGTAGAACTGGGAGATAGATTTTAATAGGCAACCCAAGAATCACCTTTGGATTTACTCATAAAATTAACTATATTCCTGAAAAAAGAGTAACAAGAAAGCAATTCTTCGATAAAGATGTCGTCACAAAATTATATACGCTATCCATTAGCGTCTCACATAATCATGTAGTAATCCTTTATTGAACACTTGAAATTCCAACTATTAAAATATTTAAGATGGGGGCATAAATAATAGTTGAATACTTAAATTTAAGTTTCAAGTATAATATATATGGATGATTGCACTATCTATCAAACAGTATTTTCGGTTTTCCTACCAAAATAATATTGCATTGTATGAGACTTGAAAAAGTAGTTCTAATCTATGACAGGTCTTTACTTTATTTTGCTGTCGGATGGTATGGCTTTATACACAAAAACAAAGTCATAACAATTAGAATAAACGATATATTATAAGACACAAGTTGTCTTTTATGCGTACCATATGTGTGTTGAGAAACGAATATGTCTGGTTCAACTTTAACTTAACTCAGAAGTTAAAGTTCTACATCTATTAGTGATTGTTTCTGTCACACTCAGCTTCTTTACCTGAATAGTAGCCGATCTTACCCGACACATGCATCAACACATATCATATTTTCTAAGAACTACTTCTAGCCACTTTCAAACATCAAATATCTAACTAGTCTATAAGTGTTGGATAATAAAATAGTTTTTTCTGTCTTTCATAGTATGTACCTGCTCACAGACTGCTATTACCATATTTGGCAGTCAAGCAGGTACATCTGGCTCTAACCTTACACTTCTTTCTCAACCAATTGGAATGTATTATGACGGACCTAGCAATATGTTAGTCGTTGCGGATTTTGGAAATCAACGTATTCTACGATTTTCTATTACGAATCCGCCTACAGTTGCAACAGTGATTGCTGGAAGTAATGGTCAAGGTTGCAACATGAATCAGTTTTATTGGCCTAATGGAATAGGTGTTGATAGTTCTGGTCAATTGTATGTAGCAGATTTCTTTTGCAATCAGGTCGTTAGATTTCCATCAAATTCAAATTCGACGACATCTGGAACACTTCTCGGTTCTGTAGCTGTAGCAGCATTAATATCCATAAATCAATTGACTAATGATATCTATGTAGCTAGCTACAATGATAATGCGATATACAAATTTGTTGGAGGTAGTGGACCATCGGTGGTTGCAGCAGGTATATAATGTTCTTTCAAAGAGATCTTTCGTTTAATATTGGCTTTATTCTCATATATAGGTGGCAATGGTAATGGAAATGCCTCAAATCAGCTGTCAGGTCCAAATGGTGTTTACTATGATTACTTATATACAAATTCTTTGTACGTTGCGGATAGTGGTAATAATCGTATATTGAAATTCGCATCGGGTTCAACGAGTGCAACTTATGGAACAGTTGTCGCTGGAGGTAACGGAGCTGGAAATGGAACAAATCAGTTGAATAACCCAAGATCTATAGTGGTCGATAGTAGTGGAACTCTCTATATATCTGAAGCAGGTAAGAACAATTTTAAGAAAAGAAAATATTCCATATATTAAATAAATTTTCGTTTAACTTTTTTCGTATCCAGGTAACAATCGTGTTACACGTTGGCTACAAAATTCGAGTAGGGGCATTACAATCATTGGTGGTACACAAGGAGCAGCAGCGAATCAACTATATTTCCCTGAACAAATCCTCTTTGATGGATCTCGTAACCTGTTGGTTGCTGATAGATATAATAATCGAATACAACTCTTTAATATAACAACAGCATGCTAGTATATAAAGGCTAACTACTGATTATTATCGTTCATAGTCAGACTTTGAAAAAAAACTGTTAATGTATTGGCTTTTTCTTGATTTTTTCATTAGTGTGCAACCTTCGAACATGTCTCTTTCTTATATGATATCTTCACTTGCATATCGTCATTCTTTTTTGTGTCTGTTTTGTCATATTATACCCTGCACGTACATTAACATACATATATGAGCTCACTTCTCTTTTGGTGTGTTTTGTTATGCTTGATGTCATTGTGATTGTATGTGCATGCTTATACATTTAAAATAAAGGTAAAAAGAGTTACTCAAGAAATCCTCTAATAATTAACGATGAGTTCAATCAATACAGTTAAAGGGCATGTACTATGCAATTATGGTTCTTGTCTAGAGAAATGGTGGATGTGGATGATGATAAGAGGAGCTGTGCCGAAACGCGTCTAAATCTTGTTTAAATATCTCATAAGATGACATATTTCAAATAAACTTATTTACATTGTTATGATATATTAGACAGTGTCAGACAAACTGTCATGACTCGTTTCGATTATGTTTAAGAGAGTTGTCAGGTTAATTCGAAATCTAATTTAAGTGTATCTCGATTATCGTCAAACTCTTATCGAAGTAAATGAAAGTTTTAATAAAGAGATTTCTACAGGTTTCAAATAAAATGAAAATAAAGCTCTGTCATATCCGGAATCGCCAAATGTCCAGATTTCTTCTGAATTTGTACTTTTTGGGAAACACGACGGATAGCAGCACTTTCAACCAGTAGTAGCTTCACTTCCACAAGAGAAGGAAGAGTAAAACTATCAGCAGAAAAACTTGTGCTTAAATTTGATTGAATAGGTTTTTCGAGCAGTCAACGTGTGGACACACAAACGAGTATTTTCTGTTTCCAATACTCATACTTTCGAGATTAAGAGTCATATGGCAACGTATTTTGTGGAACATAACGTTACAACAATTCTTTCCTTTTCTTTGCTTGATGAAAATATTGTGCAAAATAGTGATACAATCACACGTGTAAATAATGTTGTGTTTCATATAGGTCGATGTCTGTCTTGACAATTTGTTTTCTGTGACAGAAATCTTAAAAAGAAGTGCGATTTTCAATGTAACTGAAGCATATATTTCCAATGGAATCAGTTTGTATTGTACATGGCCGAAAACAGCTTTGAAGATTTTATGCAAATATTGATGAACTTTGTCGAAAAAATCTATTTCATGTTTCTGTTCGTCAAGTGGCACCAAAACATTATTGCTCATGTTATCGTAAAATAAGTGAGCTGAATGCGTTAGAATTTTTCATTTTTCTTATTGTGTCTACAAAAAAATGGGTAAGCGAAGATAATAAAAACAAAACTAAATATTAGGAAAGTCTCTGGCAAAACGTTGAATTACCAAAAACATTTTACTTGTCATAGAGATTACACAAAAATCCAATATCTTATTAAACGAATGTTTTTTTTAGTTGAAACTTTCAGGATATTTTGGGTACCACTAATTATATCTACTAGATCAAAAATCTAGTTAATCGATCTCAATCTATTAGTTTCATGTAAAGTTTACTTGAACTCTAGCGGCAAAGATCACCTTGAGTAGTTCTTTCGAAAAGCAAAATTGATATGATCAGAATTCAATATCACTATATTTTATTTGTTTAGGACAATCTTTATTTATTATCGATTATGTATGTTAACTTTATCATCAAATTCAATCATTAGAAGGAATACCATCGGTGTTACTTGATCCTCGAAATACTATTCATTGTATGATTCATGATGATGAGTGTGAGTGTGAGAATGTGGATGTTATAATCATTCCATATCCACACTCACACCCTGAATAATCTTTTAAGATGGTGGGTAAACGTCGATCATTCGTTTTTTCAATCTGATCCACAGAAACACTCACATCCTCTTTGACATTTACCTAGACACTCTCACGCATATCCACACCCACATCCTCAATATGAATGCATTTGTATTTTTATAGACAAAAATCATAATTGCATGATTCATATCGCTTTAATTCGATAGATTGAACTCACACTTAATCATTAGAAGATTTCTTGAGTAATCATTTTTATCTTTATTTTAAATGTATAAGCATGCACATACAATCACAATTACATCAAGCCCAACGAAAAATAGCAAAAGAGAAGCGACTGCATGTATATTTATATATGATTATGTATATGCAGGGTATAATACGAGAAAAAAAACAAAAACAAATTACGGTTAGCAAGTGAAAATATTATATAAGAAAGAGACATGTTCTAAGGTCGAACACTAATGAAAAATAAAGAAAAAGTCAACACATTAACCGGCTGTTTTTAAAGTTTTACTGTCTGTTAACGATAATAATCACTAGTAAGTCGTTATGCACTAGCATGCTGTTAAATTAAAAAGTTGTATCCGATTATTATATCTATCAGCAACCAACAGGTTATAATATTTATCAAAGAGGATTGTTTCAGAGAAATATAGTTGATTTGATGCTGCTTCTTGTGTACCCCCAACGATTGTAGTGCCACTACTTGCATTTTTCAGCCAACGTTGAATACGATTGTTACCTGGATATGAAGAAAAATAAAACAAAATTGTTAAATTTATACTATATTATCTTTTCACAGAATTGCTCTTACTTCCATCAGATATAAAAAGATTTCCATTACTATCGACTATTACAAATCTTGGATTATTGAACTGATTCGCTCCACTTCCAGATCCATTACCCCCAGCAACAACTGTTCCAGAAGTTGAACTCGTTGAACCTGATGCGAATTTCAGTATACGATTATTACCACTATCGGCAACGTACAAAGAATTTGTATATAAATAATCATAGAAAGCACCATTTGGACCGTTAAGCTGATTTAAAGCGTTTCCATTACCATTGCCTCCTATATATGAAAATAGAACCTATGTCAGATAAAATATTTCTTCGAAATAAATTTATATACCTGCTGCAAGCACCGGTGATCCACTACCTCCAACAAACTTGTATACCGCATTATCAGTAAAGCTAACTACATAGATATCACCAGTCAATGCATTTATAGATATTTGCTCTGCTGAAGTTGCAGAACCAATAAGTATTCCAGATGTCGTCGAATTTGAACCTGATGGAAATCTAACGACTCGAGAGCATCCTTCATCTGTCACATACAATCGACCAGAACTATCAAGAACAACTCCGACATTAGTAGTGAATTGACTCATGTTGCAACCCTGGCCATTATTTCCAGCAATTACCGTTGCAACTGTAGGTGGATTATTAAGAAAAAATTGTAGAATACGATGATTTACAAAATCGCTGACGATTAACATATTATTAGGACCGTCGTAGTACATTCCAATTGGTTGAGAAAGAAGTGAAAGGGTAGAGCCAGATGTACCTGCTTGACTGCCAAATATAGTAGTTGCATTTTGTGACCAGGATGAGTGAGAAGATAGAGAGCATACTATAAAAAGAAAGAAAAAAAACAACTATTTTACTATCCAACACTTATGGACTAGTTAGATATTTGATGTTTGAAAGTGGGTAGAAGTAGTTCTTAGAAAATATGATATGCATTAATGCATGTAATGCGTAAGATCAGCAACTATTCAGGTAAATATGCTGAGTTTGACAGAAACAAAGCACTTGAAGATGTAGAACTCTAGTTTCTAAGTTAAGTTAAAGTTGAATTAAACATTTTTATTTCTGAATACACATATAGAATACATATAAGAGAACTTGTGCCTTCTAATGTATCGTTCATTCTAATTGTTTTGACTTTATTTATGTATGAAATCATCCAGTTCGACATCGAAATAAAATAAAGACTCGTCATAGATTAAAATTACTTTTGAAGTCTTATACAGAGTGATGCTATTTCGGTAGGAAAACTGAAAATACTATTTGATAGATAGTGCAATCATTCATACATGCAATATTTGAAACTTGAATTTAACCACTCAACTATTATTTATGCCTTCATCTTCCATCGTTGAACTTTCAAGTATTACATATATGAAGATTTTAGGAGAAGGAAAAATGGAGTCTCTTGAACTATTGCATCAGATAATAATTATGTAGACGCTGACGGAGAATATATACAATACAATGTTGCCACAATATCTTTTTCAGAAAACTTGTTTTTTGTAACTATTTTTTGAGGGATGTATTTAATTTTATGGATGAGTCGAAGGTTGAAATCTATGGAACAGACTATCCAATCCTACAATGTTTCGCTAAGATAAATTCATGTGCACTCCAGTTCAATGTTAACCCGTATAAAAAATAATGCATCCGACATCTCTGTTATGAATCCATTATAAAAATAAACGCATTTTTTTAGATATAATAACTGACGTACTCTGATTATATTTTTATGATCAACTTAATCAGAAACATTATACATGACTTAATGATTGCAAATTATAAATAGTTTTAGCAAATTATGAATGTTACATTCTACCAACAACACACATTTTTTTCTAATAATCTGAAATGTTTTAAATAACTTACCTGTTGTTGTCGTCGATGTTGTGGTTGTTGTTGATGTTGTTGTTGTTGAGGTTGTTATTGTAGTTGTTGTTGTAGTTGATGTTGTGGTTGACGTTGTAGTTGATGTTGTAGTTGATGTTGTAGTTGTTGATATTGTTGTAGTTGTTGTTGTAGTTGTGCTTGTTGTTGAAGTTGTTGTTGTAGTTGTTGTTGTGCTTGTTGTTGAAGCTGTTGTTGTAGTTGTTGTTGTGCTTGTTGTTGAAGTTGTTGTTGTAAGTGTTGTTGTAGTTGTGCTTGTTGTTGAAGTTGTTGTTGTGCTTGTTATTGAAGTTGTTGTTGTTGAAGTTGTTGTTGTTGATGTTGATATTGTTGTTGTAGTTGTTGATGAAGTTGTAGTTGATGTTGTTGTTGTAGTTGTGCTTGTTGATGATGTCGTTATTGTTGAGGATGATGACGATGGTGATGTTGTTGTTGTGGTGATGGTTGATGATAATGTGGATGACGCCGACTTTGTTGTTGTAATAGTGGTTGATGATGATGATGTTGTTGATGCTGTCATAGTCGGTTCTAGTTTACGAAAATAGCATTAGTATGAGACTACAGAACATGATAAAGCTTTGCTTATAATCTAATATTTGTTCCTATTCTAACAGTATATGTAGAATGTGAATATGGATTCAGAAGAAGTGATCAATCAGCGCCCATACATCCACGTCCACATCTTTTAAATACCGCATATATTTCTCATTGACTAATACTTAATCAAAATTGAAGAGCAGGGTAAACTGTTATTTGCAATATCTACTACCACCGAGGATGATTTATACTAAACTCATTATTTGCATCAATTAGATTCTTAAACCAATTAATGTAGTTGATATACTATTATTCACTATACAATCGAACGTTATTCTGATTTATTCATTATTTCTTATTAATTCAGAAAATGACGAAGATTTCACTGTGAAGTTGAGAAAAGAAAAAAACAAAACTTTTCTGTAACAGTCATCATTTATTATAAGTAATGAATAAGCAGGAAAAAAGTTTTGTTTGCTTTCTGTCTTTCCTTAACTATGAATGAAACACTCTCTTTAATTTATTACTTTTAGATCAATTGGTATGAAAGGATATATTAATTTTCTGTTTTACTCTTTATATTCGATAATGCCAATGCTATAAGGACGATAAAAAAAAAGTGAACAATTACATGGCCCATCTCTATATATATATACCCCTAATCAATAAGCTAATTAAAAATAAAGCTTATTAAAAAGAGAAAATATTTTTTTTTCTTTTAAATATTTTATATAATATATTTCTAAATTTAATATATTCATACTAACCAGGTGGAGATCGTGTTCCAGCAATAACAATCATAGTAGTAACGTCGATATCAGTCGACATATTCTTAATTTCATTTGACATATCAGTAAATAATTCACAAGTAGAAGTTGATTGATGAAAACTGATTGCTCCACAATAAATTTGAGCTAAACAAGCCATTTGACACTTCATAATAGTCGACGTAATGAGATTAATGAATGGTAAACAACTTGGACTAGCACATTGAAATTTCGAACCAGTCATTAAAGACATTAGAACGGATCGTGTATCTTCTCCTACTGATTGTGTAATAATCACAAATATAAGCCATAAACAAATTCTTCTTGATGCCATCACTAACTAACTTGCAAATTGATGAAATGAATTTAACTGAGAATAAAAGAAAAAGAATCTGTTGAGCGATAAACACTATTTGTTTTCCTTCTTTTTCTGTCTCTTTTTTTATCATCTCATTTCATCCATCTAATGAAAAAGTAGTCATGACTTTTATTTTATTTTGTAAAAACACATATCTAATTTGAAAGACGATTTTTCTTTGTTTATATGTTACTTATAGACAAATATACTCACAAACAGAGCATTTTTTGTTATATGGAATATGAACAAAGATGAAAACACATATAAAATAATCGACTCAATAAAATTGGATTTGAAAAGAGAATAATTAATATTTAATCGCAAATGAAGTTTTTCTTATGAAAATAAAAATAATTTAATCCATTTTGCTCATATAGAAATTAGATATTCATACAAACTTATTTCACCGATTATACTATATATCAATCAGTTATCACTTAATTTATATAGAAACAAAGAAAATTGAATGATTCTCAAAACTCAAACTCATCGAATTTAGATATTTCAACTAACTCTAACATGAGGTATTCTATTCTTCAATTTTTGATTGATAAAAGAATATTATGATGTGTGATTCAGTGGATGATTGCATTTTTCTTCATCAATATAACAATGAGCCAAACATTTCTATGTATGATAGTATTAATGAAAGACAAAAAATCTTGTTTATTGGATAAATGAAAACAAACAGTTTTTTCACTATTCTATAGTGAGTTTAATAATTGTTTATCATAACAACACATTCTAAACTGTTCCTTTTTCTCGAGGAAAAACATTTATCCACCAAAAATCTACTTTGTTTTTCTTTTCTCTTCTTTTCTCTCGTTTACATGATGCTGTGATATGTAATGTATGTAGCAGCAGAAGAAGAAATTAGTTAGACAATCTTTTTGATTATTTTTCAAAAGAAACGATAGAAATACAGAACTAGTAGACAGATCTAGGTTTGATGTAATTACAATAAGAAAAAGCGCATTACTTTAAAAAAAAGTACATGATTGTTGAGTAAAACAATGATGATAATATATGCAAACTTTTTGTAGATGAAAAACAGCATCTCCATAATTACATTAGAAAAATGACTAAATAAAGTTGATGACGTCTTTACTTTCTTCCAATATTTGAATGAATCATACATAATTACTAAATAGATGGTTTTTTCTCAAACGTGTAAAGATTTATTTAACTTCTTTTAGATTTCAATGACAGTGGAGTGTCCTTTGAAGAGTATGCTGTATGTTAAAATCATGATTTCGATAATAGTTAATTATATAACATTGATTCATAAATGATTTTTACAAATATTTGTTTACCTACTTATATCTCAAATGCATGTCAACTTAAAAGTATTGATCATATATTGTAATTGGAAAATAAAAAAATCTAAAGTAGTGATCAATGATAAATGATTGGATACTAACGATTCTAACATGTAATGCAGAATGTTAGACAATGAAAACATCCTTAGTCGTGTATTGCTATTTAAGAATAGAGTCACTAGTAGTAGTAGTAGAGTAAATCAAAATTTGTCTCTAAATTTTCATTAGAGATAGAAAAGTACTATATCTGATGGCGATAGTACTCGAATACTTGATCGATCGTCTTTCGAAACATTTAAATAAAGATAATCAAATTATAGTTTTATTTCAGGTGAAGTATTTCTTAAAGAGACAATCGTCTTTTATTATAAGATCTCGGATATTTTATTACATTCTACTCGTTGCATCTTTCACAGAGTCATTTAAAATGAGTTTCATCACATAATGGATGTAACTGAGTGACATAATAGAGTTCATATTTATGGAAAAGACGAAAAGTTATATCACTGCAATCTAATATAGGTATCATATCTTCGAATCGATCTGAATGTTTATTTTTTAAATATAAGGTTATTATTTGTATGGCTTTATTCTTATTAGTTTATATACAATCTTTAATGACGAAGCAATTTAAAATCATTTCAAAAGAACATAAATAGAAGTACTTGTGATTGATAATTCAAAATTTATTCAATTGTTTAGAGATGAGAGTTATTGCAAAATGATCGAATTAAACAAATACTCATTATGAAAGGAGAGAAAGATGACAAAATAAATAAAATTCAATATGTAATCAATGAAGAAGATGGATATATATAAGAGCATGGGTGTGGGCAAATGTGGGTGTTGATGAGACTATCTTCATCATCTCTTCACTACCACCACATACCTTTACCCTCAAGATGGTTGAAAACGCTATTATTAGCCATAAAAAATTATAATCAGTAAAATCATTATGTTATACTTTCTTCATTTATCGAGTGAATTATATGAGGCTATTATAAGAATAGATCTGTTTAACTGATACAGATAAAGATGAAATTCTACACAGCAATCCTAGTTTCTTATGCATTAATCAGTATGCGGAACAAAACGATATATAGTAACGGCTTGTTCATCACCGTTAAGAATGCACTCTAGAAATATGATTGAATGTATGATTTCTACAAGGGTGATGCATGACATTTCGGCCGTCTACAATTCAATACTAATATCGTTTATGATCGCCTTCAATAGCTGCATAAAAATCTATCGACGGCAACTGAACACTCGAATAGGTTGCTATCAAAGAGTAACAGCAATCTACGAATTCTACGATGCAACTTTTTTTCCTAATTATTCTATAGTCTAATTAGTAAATCAATTCTTTTTAAAAGATCACCTATCACCACCTTCTTAAATAATATATTACAATAGAACTTACTTCTTCAAGACAGAAATTTATTTATAAAATCAATGTTACAATCAAATTGATCGTGACTAAGATAACAAATCTCATGTGCTACTTTTAAATGCTGATGTGCGTAGAAATTTTTGTTAACGATATATCACTCATATCTACATCCTCAAATGAGTTGAAAATAATATCTATAATATAATCTATTACATGTGATATACTCAGAGAAAAAAACATTCAATTTTCTACAACATTCTATTGTGCAGAAGCATATGCAATGGCTGAACGTTAAGATAAAGCAATTGCTTAATTATCAGAATTCTTTTCTTTCTTTTTTTCCATTTATAATACTGAATGACTATTCTGGAAGTAATTTAATTTTAAAAAGCCATTATATATACAGAAAAAAAACTGTTTCTTTTTTTTGTTCTCTTCATCTGATGGTGACGATTTTAATTTCATAAATAATTAAAAAAACTAAGATAATATTTTCTTCTCTCGTAGTCAAATCTTTTTTTCCTTGTTGCTATTCTACTCATTTCGTGTATGTATACTGCTCATGAGTGCAACTTTTTTTCCAGATACTTGACTAACAATCGACAACACTTCTATCTGTAATGATTAAATATTAAACGAGAGAGTTAGAAAAAATGAAAGGAAAAAGAAATAGTAATGTTAGTAACTAAAATATTTCTAACAAAAAATAGTTAAAAACATCCAGTCATAAAAGATGTTTTGGATATTCTTTGTTTTACTGATAGTTTCTACTGGTGATTGTATTCTTATTGGTAAAATAGATAATAATATATTAATTGGTAATATATCTAAATCATTATGGAATATAACTCAAAACCAATGTATATGTGAGATGATAGATTCAAATGGAATCATATCGACATTAAATTATTTTTCAACAAATCAAACTTGTCAATTATTTTATACAAATTTTACTTCGATTTTAATTGAATTTAGTCTCAATTCTTCTTTGATATTTATGAATCAATCAGCAATATTCATAGCACAAAGTAAATATACTAATATAAATATTGCAAACATATCATAGTTTTGCTATCGAACGAGCTAAACATATTTGAAAAAATTTAATAAGATTTTTGTGTCCGGTGAAAATTCCACCTTTTCTAGTTTAGCAAGTTAGAGGTTAGACAAAATGTTAATATTATACGAATTCGCATATTCCAATGCATCGCGTCAACCTCATCTTCAGATTCTATTACAGCTAAAGCTATAAATAAGTATTATAGAAGCCGTCTTGTCAATCCATTGTAACTTACGTAAAATTTATCATAATGCATCCATAGTCAACTACACTATCAGTAGAACGTAGCATGCAAGGTTTTAGGCGAAACCTTATCCAATTGTTCTGTCCTCTTTTTGATCTCGTTTTTTCAATATAGATCAGATCACGTCAGCAACAACATCAGCAGCAACAACAACAACAGGTAAGTTATTTAAAAAGTCTAAAGTTATTGGAAAAAGATGTATGTTGTTGATATAATGTACAAGCTACGCTAATGTAAGATACATAATTTGGTAAAGCCATTTGTAATTTATGCTCATTACATCATGTATACCGTTTCTCGACAAGTTGATCATGAAAATATAATCAAAGTATCTCACTTATGATGTCCGAACTGGTCTATAAGTATTGGATAATAAAATAGTTGTTTTTTTTCTTTCTTTTTATAGTATGTACTCAGCCATCGTGGTCACAAACTGCGACTACTATATTTGGCAGTCAAGCAGGTACATCTGGCTCTAACTTTACACTTCTTTCTGCTCCAATTGGAATGTACTATGACGGTCTTAACAATATGTTAACCGTTGCGGATTATGGAAATCATCGTATTCTACGCTTTCCTATTACTAATCCACCTTCAGTTGCAACAGTAATTGCTGGAGGTGATGGTGCTGGCTGCAACATAAGTCAATTTCGTTCTGTTGATGGAATAGGTGTTGATAATTCTGGCCGATTTTATGTAGCAGATTACGATTGCGGTCAAGTCGTTCGATTTCCATCAAATTCAAATTCGACGACATCTGGAACACTTCTCGGTTCTATAGCTCAAGCAGCATTAATATCCGTCAATCAACTGACTGGTGATATCTACGTAGTTAGCCATACTGATAATGCGGTATACAAGTTTGTTGAAGGCAGTGGGTCACCAGTGGTTGCAGCAGGTATATAATGTTCTTTCAAAGAGGTCTTTCGTTTAATATTGGTTTTATTCTCATATATAGGTGGCAATGGTAATGGAAATGCCTCAAATCAGCTTAACGGTCCAAATGGTGTCTACTATGATTATTTATATACAAATGCTTTGTACGTTACTGAGATTGGTAATAGTCGTGTAATGAAATACCCATCAGGTTCAACAAATGCAACTTATGGAACAGTTGTTGCTGGAGGTAATGGAGCTGGAAGTGGAGCGAATCAGTTGAATAATCCAAGATCTATAGTGGTCGATAGCACAAGAACTCTTTATATTTCTGATGCAAGTAAGAGCATTTTTGAGAAAAGAAAATATTTCACAGATTAAAAAACTCGTTTAACTTTTTTCGTATTTAGGTCACAATCGAATACAACGTTGGCTGAAAAATGCGACGAGTGGCACTACAGTTGTTGGTGGTACATCAGGAACAGCATCAAATCAACTCAATTTTCCTGAAACAGTCCTCTTTGATAAATATGGTAACTTATTGGTATCTGACAGAAGAAATAATCGAATACAAATGTTTAATCTAACAACATGCTAGTGTATAATGACTTACGACTGATTATTATCGCTGACAGAGTAAAACTTAAAAAGGCCCGTTAATGTGTCGACTTTTTCTTTATTTCTCATTAGTGTTCGACCTTAAAACATGTCTCTTTCTTATATATTATCTTCACTTATATATCGTAATTTGTTTTTGTGTTTGTTTTCTCATATTTATACTCTGCATATACATAATCATATATGAATATTTACATGCGGTCGTTTCTCTTTTTCTGTATTTTTTTATGCTTGATGTCATTGTGATTGTATGTGCATACTTGTATATTTCAAATAAAGATAAAAATGATTACTCAAGAAATCTTCTAATAGTTGACTGTGAGTTCAATCCATGGAATTAAAGGGATATGAACTATGCAATTATGGGTGTGTAGGTGAGCAGGAAAAGACACGCGTACACCCACACACAAGATGGTACAGGTGGAGATAAATGGGGGTATTGACAAGAGTATCTTCATCACTCTTTCACTACACTCAGATTTACATCCACTTCATTCACAGCTCATGTCGACACTCGCACTCACGCTGATGCTCGCATCCACACCCTCAAAATTTGATTTTTCTGTGTACTTTTGTGTTCATTCTATTTGATTTTTCTTGTGTATCTCGATATTTAAGTCATCTTAATACTAACTAATTTAGTTTTTTGTATTATTTATAGTTTTCGAACTGTTTCTTTTTCGTCGGATTGTGTTTTTTGTGCATTACATATCTTGAACGTGAAATAAAATAAGCAGAGAGACGTCATTATGAAAGTTATAGAAAATGTTCCCATTACTAAATACAATGCGAATTTCTGGAAGTGCTCATATCTGTTTACTTTCACTATTGTAATTAGAAAACCGCATTTATTATTTCTACTTTTTTGAATATCGTATTTTAAGAAAATAGAAATGCATGCAAGACTACTTATGGGCACCCCAACAGTATCGTTTTTCATTCTTTATAACTTGTTTTTAAGTTGACAGTGTAGTTTGATGGCTTTTCTAATGTAATCACGGAGATGCGATATTCTTCTCTCCGACAGTAAACGTTTGTTTGCATAATTACTTATTTAGATGTACTTTTTTGTGAATCAGCAAAGTTTGTATTATTGTGATTAGATCCGACAAATGTTTACTGGAGAAAAATCAAAAAGAATTTCCAACTAATTTTTTTCTTCGTTTGTATACAAAATACATAATGCATTATATCGATACACAAATGAAAGAAGATGAAAGAAAAATAAGGTAGATGTTTAATCGATCAATATTTTCCATCAAGAAAAAAAAGTTTTGAGCGTGTTGTTATGATAAAGAATTATTTTAGGATATTGAAAAAACTGTTTGTTTTGTTCTAAATTAACACTATTCCGCATAGACATTAATCGTAATTATTTGAACCATTGTTCACATTGATAAGGAAAAATGTGATTATCTATTGAATTACAAGTCATAATATTCTCCTATCAAGCAAAAGCGCAAGAATAGAAACGATAAGACAGAAAAACAAATGAGAGATTTTCGAAATGTTATTATACTGTATGCTGTTTACACTAGAAAAATCCAACTGTAGTGTGTTTCAGTTAAAAAAACAGTAAAGTTTGTTTTAGCTCTCTTGTCTAATCAACCAGCTCATCTGATCATTCTTCATGTTTTTCATCTTTATTCATTTTCTATATAACTCAAATGATCTATTTATGAATATTTTTGTCCTGAAATAACGTTTAAACACAGAAAGATCATCTTGCCGAATGGATAAGTTGTTTTCAAAATTAAAAAACGTCAGGATTAGTTTTGGAATAGGTTGATCAAGTGAACTGAGAAAAGAAAATACGCTACGCCTCGAAAAGAGAAAAAGAAAGAAAGAAACAAAATAAAATAGAATTTATTGTTCCACAATTACTTTCTCTTGTAATATGAGTTAAATTCATTTCATCAACTTACAGTCGAGTTGGTGATGGCTTCAAGAAGAGTTCATTTATGGCTTTCATTCATGATTATTACACAATCAACCGGAGATGGATATACGATCAATGGAAATGTCTTTAATGGTTGATTCCAAGTTTCAATGTGCGAATACAACTTGTTTACCTTTTATTAACATTATTACGACAGACATCAGGAGTTGTCAATTAGCCTGTTTAGGTAAAAGTCAATGTAGAGCAGTTACTTTTCATCGATCAACTTCTAATTGTGAATTATTTGCCGATATATTGAATCAAAATGGAACTATGTTGCTTGATGTGGATGCCACCAGCATGAATGTTATTAGTGGAACACGATTTCCATCGGGTCAGTATGAATGTAACAGATGTAGAAGAAAATATATCTGTAAGAGAGAAAAAGTTATTTTCTTCTTGAAACTAATTTCAAGTTTTATCGAGAACTAACACAACTTGATAGAGATATGGAACACATCTATGTGTAAATTAGGGATCATGTCATATTTTAGAACTATTTCTACTCACTTTCCAGTATTACATATCTAACTAGTCTATAAGTGTTGGATAGTAAAATAGTTGTTTTTTTCTCTTTCTTTTTATAGTATGTACTCTGTCTTCTCGATCATCCTGGTCACAAAATGCTACTACCATATTTGGCAGCCAAGCTGGCGGCACATATGGCTCTACCCTTTCACTTCTTGATATTCCAATCGGAATGTATTATGATCAAGCTAATAATCGATTAATCGTTGCGGATTTTGGAAATCAACGTATTCTGCAATTTTCTATCAACAATCCGCCTTCAGTTGCAACAGTAATTGCTGAAAGTAATGGTCAAGGTTGCAACATGAATCAGTTTAATGGTCCTGTTGGAGTAGTTCTTGATAGTTCTGGTCAATTGTATGTGGCAGATTACGTTTGCAATCAAGTCGTTAGATTTCCATCAGGTTCAAATTCGGCGACAACTGCAACACTTCTCGGTTCTGTAGCTCAAGCAGCATTACTATCTCTAGATCAATTGACTAATGATATCTATGTAGCTGGCTCTAATGATAATGCGGTATACAACTTTGTTGGAGGTAGTGGATCACCAGTGGTTGCAGCAGGTATATAATGTTCTCTTAAAGAAATCTTTCGTTTAATACTGATTTTATTCTCATATATAGGTGGTAATGGTAATGGAAATGCTTTAAATCAGCTGTCAGGTCCAAATGGTGTTTACTATGATTATCTATATACAGATTCTTTATATGTTACTGATAGTGGCAATAATCGTGTAATAAACTTCCCATCCGGTTCAACGATTGCAACTTATGGAACAGTTGTTGCTGGAGGTAATGGAGCTGGAAGTGGAGCGAATCAGTTGAATAATCCAAGATCTATAGTGGTCGATAGCACAAGAACTCTTTATATTTCTGATGCAAGTAAGAGCATTTTTGAGAAAAGAAAATATTTCACAGATTAAAAAACTCGTTTAACTTTTTTCGTATTTAGGTAACAATCGAATACAACGTTGGCTGTCAAATGCGACGAGTGGCACTACAGTCGTTGGTGGTACAACAGGAACAGCATCAAATCAACTTAATTGGCCTGAACAAATCCTCTTTGATAAATATGGTAACTTATTGGTTGTCGATAGGGGAAATAATCGAATACAAATGTTTAATCTAACAACATGTTAGTGTCTAATGACTTACTGCTGATTATTATCGTTAATCGTAAAACTTTAAAAAAGGCGGTTAATGTGTTGACTTTTTCTTCATTTCTCATCAGTGTTCAACCTTGTATAACATGTCTCTTTCTTATATGATATCTTCGCTTGTATATCTTCATCTTTTTGTGTTTAGTTAGTCATATTATACTCTGTATATACATAATCATATATGAATATTTACATGCGGTCGTTTCTCTTTTGCTATTTTCTCGTTGGGCTTGATGTAATTGTGATTGTATGTGCATGCTTATACATTTCAAATAAAGATAAAAATGATTACCCAAGAAATCGTCTAATAATTGACTGTGAGTTCAATCCATGGAATTAAAGGGATATGAACTATGCAATTATGGGTGTGGGTGTGAATCTTAGTCTGGGTCTGGGTGTGTGGGTGAAGAGGAAAAGACACACGGACACCCACACCAGCATTAAAATTATATCAAAAATCATCATCTACATTCTTATCTCACTCTCAAGAGGTTGACAAAAAATTCAATTATCACACGTTACATTTGTCGAATAACGAATATTTGACATTTTTCAATTTAGAAACAGATTTAAAAAATTAATTAATTTCAAATAATCCTCTTGAACATTGTTTATGCTCTCATAAGTTTTGAAAGTTTTAACTTTATCGAATTGACCGTGCAGAAGATTCGAGGATAACATGATAAAAGATTGATTTGTTACTGAATCTTCATTTTTATTCTGCTATTGAACAAAATCCAATTTTTTTAGACGTGTTTTGTTCTTCTTCATCAATATTCTGGCATGAATTAAAATTTCAATCATTAGAATTGATTTGTTTAAATGTATAGTACTACTGGTGTGTCATATATCCTACTTAAGCGAAAATTGTCCAAAAAAGACATAATTTTCAATAGAAATTGTGACGATAGAGATATATGTAGAATGATTCTAGTTTTTGATATAATCAATTCATATTGTTGTACTTTGTAATTATATAAATGTTATAAAAGATTCTAAAAAAACAATCAGATGATAAAGATCTTTTAATTTGACTATATTCTATTGTCAAAATAGGAGAGATTAATTTAGTTTTCTTAACACGATAAACCACATTTAAATCTCTTAAAATGGATATGATCTAGTATAATATATAAATAACCGAATTGTATTAAAAAAACGAATAGAATAAAACAAAATTTTAAAAAGTGAGCCATAGAAACGTTGTAATTATGTTTGAAAAACAAACTTCGTCTTGTTTTGTTTTGGTTATTACGATTGTTAAAAAGAAAAAGAAAGAACGAAATAATCACAATACATACGCATTAGTTTATTCTCAGAACAATCGAACAACATCTACAAAACTTCAAGGTCACAATTGAAATTCTAGAATATTTCATTTACGTCAGTTTATATGAGAAATGATATAAAAGCATCATTCAACTTTATATTTAACTCTCATTTACTTTACAATATTAACTATATATTTTTTTCTATTTATCAAGATCAGACAAAAAATTGACGAACATATATGGAAACTATCAAAAAACAACTGATCGATATTTTACCATATGCATCCACAAATGATGGTGTGAAGAAATTATTCAATGATAATCTTCAATTATCAATTAACGTCGTCAATGAGTGTCTGACATTGGATGATAAATATTTAGCCGAAATATTTGGCAAAGATAAATATAACACAGGTTTCATGATGATTACAAAATTATCATTACATTTATTATCAAATATTAAAAATTTAAAAGTTTTAGAATGTGATCATTTATATAGGATTGGATTATTAACCATCAAAATTATGCATAATGAATACATTTACAAATCTATGGAAAACTTTTATGATGTCTTTTTTCGATATAGATTTCAGTCAAATAATATAACCGAATGTCTTTTAGAACATATTCAGAACATCACAGATTCATCATTAATTCGAATTATTTGTTCATGGTTAGATATTGTAGTTCATTATCAACGTGTCATCAGAAAAGGGAGCGTTGATTTGGAATATAGTTATTTTGATCCAAGAAAAATCATATCAGAATGTATTATTAAACAAATATATAATTTACCAAGTAATTTGAGATTACGTGGATCATTCTTATTTTATTTAACATTTATACCATATCCTCATATAAATGATGATGAAAAACTTGCATCAATATGTCGTCAACATATTCTTTCACAAATGAAAGATTTAAATGAATGGACATCAGACACAGTACATTGTGTTATGGGAAATATCTGTCTGATTACAAAACATTACGCTAAACAGTTTAAAGATGATATAGAATATTCTCAATCGTTATTACGTATTGTTACTCATACAAAATTTCATCAATCATTAGTTTCAACATGGACAAATGATAAGACAATTTTAATTCATACAATTATAGAATATTTTTATGAAAATATTGATAATAATGAAAAAATGAAAGTTATACTTATTAGTGGTATTGATCAACTTCAAAAATTATATGAAAATATTAAGTGTGAATCTACAAAAATGAAGCTCTGTTATTTAATTCTTGTATCAACAAATGAAGAAAGTAAAGTTTCTGATACAATTTTATTGGCATGTTTCCAGTACATTAACAATCTATACATAATAACACAGAACCAAGACACCAAACCCAGAGAACAGTATGATTTTTTACCAGTATTAAAGAAAGCATGTCGTTATGATTCAATCAAAGATGCCATCATTAGATTAAACAAGATTAATGAATTAGTTGATTTAATTCGACATCATTCTGATGTTGTGTGTGACATACTTGCTCTTCTATCGACAAAATCTGATGCTCAAAAAATATTACAAACAAATCATACGTTTTTTTGTTATATGGCGTCCAGAAATTGGAACGTAAAAAATAGACGCTCTTTACAAATTTTGCGACAAAACATCAATTTTCCGGATTATCAGCGACTCTTGACATACGAATGTATAAACGCGTCACCATCTCGAATCGTTGAGATGTCCTACGAACGCCACCGAAGCCCTTTATTGTGTCTTTCCATGAAGGATCAAGTTGCACTAAGCTGTAGTAATACTGAGCTTGCTAAGCGTATCAAAACTCATTTACAAGAATCTTATCATAATATATTAATTTTAAATGAATGCAATGATGATATGGAAAAAGAAAAGCTTATCTTATCATGTGAATTTATGATTGTTTGTTTAACTAACGATTACCACGAATTTCAATCAGAATTAGTTCTTGTTTATAAAAATCAAATAACGATTGTACCGATTGTCTTTGAAGATGAAACAAAATATTGCCCAGAAGAACCATTTTTGAAATTTTTCCTTGAAAAATATTCATCATTATTGATTCGCGCAAATATCAATGAACTAAGCAATTCATTAGCACATCAAATAGAATCTGCTCGGCAGATACACGTGCAACTGTTCCCCTCTTCTTTCAATACCATCAACAACTTAAACGAGCTGATTGCAGATTTAGTTGTAAGTATTGTTTTACATAAACCAAAAAATATCTACACTCTCCACTTTTGGTTTTAGAAATGTACTGATACGGCTAAAGATTTATATAAAGCATGTAAAGAAAATGAAATTTCCAAAATGAAAGAATATCTTCAAAACATCGATATTAGGATTTTAAATGAACGCATATCAAATGGAAGTACATCATTGCATATAGCATCTTACAATGGTCATAATGAAATTGTTCGATTACTTCTTAAAGCAGGTGCATCACGAACTATACGAAATTGGCCATATGAATTAACACCTTATGAAGAAGCGCGAACACAAAGTACGAAGGATTTATTTCGAATAAAATTAGATCAAGACAAATCGGATCATTTTATCAATAATGATGTTTACATTGAATGGATGACTACTTCTCGAAACCCTGGTCAAAAACGAACTTATCTTCGAGAAAAATTGAATCAATTAAAAACATATAAAAATAATAATGTTGGTGATATTTATAGAGAACTGGTAGAACGTATGTATGCTTATATTGATACGTTATCTCTTACAAATAACATGAAACAAATCGCACAACAATATTTCGTAGAAATGCGAGAAACACTCGATCCAGTTTATATTATCAAAGCATATACAAGTGGAACTGGTTTTCATAAATACTATAATGAATTTATCGCTCAACATGCTATTGATTTCTTCGATCCATTTAGTATAGATATTCATATTGATTATAGTATAGTCAAATATCTAACGACAAGTATTGCTATAATTATGTATAGCGAAAGCTTTTATAAATATCGATATTGTGGACAAACATACCGTGGAATGACAATAACTGAAAAAGATTTATATAAATATGTTGTCAATTCAAAAATAATGAATAAATCATTCTTATCAACATCAAAGTCAAAAGAAACTGCTGAAGTATTCAGTGGTTGTGTACAAGAACAATTGCCAATACAAACACTTAATGAACAAGCAACTGATATTGCCGCATTCTGTACTTATATTATCAAGAATTCCGAAACAGCGTTAGATCTTGAAAAAATATCAGAATTTGGAGAAGCTGAAAGTGAAGTTTTAATTTTACCATTTTCAATATTTGAAGTTAAAAGTGTTCAACGATTATCAACAAATAAAGTTCACATCGAATTAGAAGAAGTTTCTGATGAATTTTCTTGACACTTATAATTAAATATATCTCAGTAGTTTAACATTTTAATAAAAGAAACATTTTTTTTATAACGAAAGTAAAAATGATGATCGATAGGTGTGGATCTAAGTATTCACTAAATCAAAATTCATACCGACACCCACACCCTCATGTGAAATATTATTTCGTACGATATAAACAATCATTCTTTTAACTTTCGATGGCAACATATCTTTCGTTCTTCAATTGTTGGTCGAGTCCAATCATTACCAAATATACACTTCAATGCTCGACTACAACATGAACTATCAACAATACATCTCTCTGTTCGATTGAATTGCATTGGTAAATCAATACCAACAAGACGATTTAGTAAACTATTAGTGAAATGATTACAATTATGTTGAAGTAAATCATCTATCAAATTATAATTCATCATTTATACATCTAATAATAAAATATTCTTACAATTTTTTCGACTAAATTCATCATACATATCAAATAAAATCTTTGTTTCAATTTCATCCTTTCTTATATCAGTCGTACCAACTTGTTTCGATAGAATTAATCGACCAACATGTGAATGAGGTCGACATTTACAAATGCCATTACCATAATAATATTCAGTATCATATACTTGTATACTCTATAGATATAACCTTCTAAATATGTATATACGAATTAGTAGTTTAAACTAACTGTATGATAAATACCAAGACGATAACAAGTACAATAAGTGAAAAGACAATGAATTGTTCGATATTCAGAAAGCAAATCATAAACATTTAAAAAAACAGGTTCTGAATGTTTATTTATTATATTATTTGCATGAAGAAATGAAGATAAAAATATTGATTGTTTTGATTTCAAATCAACCATTCTTCTGATAATGATAGTTGTCATTAAATAGAATGCGCCATTTTTTTATCTTAATAATCTTCGATCATCTATAGGACCTATATTTCATATGATAATGATTTTAAAGACACCATGTTGCTTGTTCTCGAATATGCTGATCTAAATGATAATGTTCGATCATATCACTTTCATTCATTATCAAAGATAAAGATGAAAACCATTGATTGACAAACAATTCTATTTGTTGTTGATCAATCTTTTCATGAATAGGACATGAGAATGAATAAAGTAAAGTTTCATAATTTAAATCTTTTATCTTTACAGATAAACGAAAATTTTTTAATGTCATTACATCCATTAATGAAGTTGATAAATAAAAATAAATTAATGGATATCCAAGTAGATAACCAAAAATAGTTGTATGATTTAATGATTGAATAAGATGAGACCATTCATCATTTGTTTCATTATCAAAATCGATTTGTTCATGTTGTCGGTTATTTATCCAAGAAAGATGATTACAAATCTATTTTATAGAATAGAATTTTGGCTTCAATCGACAAAGAAATTGAATACCTCATCTAACATTGGATGACAATTTGTTGTAGTCATAGTATTTAGATCAATAATAAGAATTGATGTTGATGTATCATCAATTAGCTTTAATAATTGAGAACTATTCATAATAATCAGATCATTTATTGAATATTTCAGAATAATCGAACGAAATGGTAAATAACTCGATAGATTATTTAATAAATTTCTCATATCTTCAATTGAATATGGAAATAGATCAAATAAATAAGCTGATTTAATATTTAAATTTAAACACAATAATTGTGCAAATAATTCTCGACAAAATCGATGATAACGTCGATGAATATATTTATGGAAAATCTTTTGTACATCATCAAATTTCATCTGAAAGAAGAAAAAAAATTCGACAAAAAAAACAGAATTTATTATACAATTAAATTAAAATCTCGATCGTCTTTTTGATTTCCATGTTTTTCTCTGTGGACAATGATAATGATGATTATTAATACGTCTATATGCTTCACGTAAATGTTTTGGTTCAAGTGGTGTTGATTTTGTTTCATTATCTTGTCGTTGAACTTCTAAAGCTTCTTCAACAATTTCACCCACAAATACTTTCGCAATACCAGCCATAGCAATAACAACATTCGATGATGGTATTGAACCTGTTATTGAATGCATTAAACGTTTTATTGAAACTTTTGAAAATGCTGAACGACGATACATTTCATAACGATCTAATTGTTCATCGCTGAAATTTGATACAAGAACTTGTAATTTTATATTTGCTTCTTCATCAATAGTTTTTGACTGAAGACGATCCGTTTTAGGAAGAGATTCTTCTGGTTTATTATCATTTTTAATTGGACTTATTGTTTCCATATCTGAAGGAGAATTTTGTTCATCAAGCACTTCATTTTCATCATCTTGTGTTGGTGGTTGAAAAAAACTTGAATTATGATCGTCGTTATTATTAAGAAAATGTTCCATAATTATTAATCTATAATCAAAAAAAGATAATTATCAATCAATAATTGCAAATTTATTTAAAATCAAATGAAAATGAAAGATTTTATTATGGTGAAAGTCGTTCATAAATCCAACCATGAGTGCCTTGATGTGTTATAGTTGGATCTATCTGATTATCTTTATTCGTATCAGATGTAACACGACGAAATTGTATACGATCAGATAATCGATTACTTTGACCCTGATAAAATTCAATGGTATGTGGTATTAAAAGAAAACCACCCCTAAATAAAGAAGTTAGAAATTTACTTATAGACAGAAGAATACTTACCATCTTTTTGGTTTTTCAATTGGTAAATTATTATCAATATAATTTTGTCGTTGATCGAGTAAAAACTATTTTTCAAGGAAATAAAAATAATTAAATTTCGGATATATGTCTTCGATATTACTTGTCGACTAGGTACTGGTTGACTTTGTTTACTAATTGCAGCACTAATTTGAGAATCAATTGGACGTGAATAAAAATATTCATTTGATTCAGTTTCAGATAGTTTTTCAACTCGACCATCAATACGAATCTATGAATTTAGTATACAAGAAATTTTCCATATAATGTCTGCAACGAAGAGATAAAATTTACTGATCGTGACATCGATGGCCAATAGAAACACATAGATGCAACTGGATTCTCTTCCTAAAACGAACATCCTGTTACTTTTCATATACTAAGTCAGTAAACATACTAATTGTTTTCCTTTTTGACTATCATAATTTGTATAAAATTTAAACCCATTTTCATCAAATCCTTTCATTAATAAAAATCGACTAGATGGCATTCCATTTCTAAACGAACAAAAAAACATTATCGAAATATGTTGATTAGACATTATTACTTTGTAGCTGTAGATAAACAAAACGAATTTGGTTCTTCAACATATTCAACAGCTTCTTCAAACCATTTTTTAAATTGACCGAATGGTTCCTTTGATACTAGATGTTCAACACCAAAGAATTCATTTGGTTGTTTATACGGCTTTCGAAGAGCTATATGAAAATTAGTTAAGTATAACATTTTTATTATGCTTGATCATATTTACCCGCTATATTAACATTTGTATGAATATGTGCCTGTGGTTCCATTAATCTAAATAATAAACGAATTAAACGCATAACATCTAGAAAATGATCATTCATCGACTTCAATCAGTAATCATCAATGCTATCCCTCAACCGTTAAATAAAACGCGTTATGGAATTATTTTATCTTTGTACTGTGCATGTTGTAAATGAAACTATATTTTTTGAAATATCATTCTGATTGGATATATTTAGTCCAATAAATAATATGTGAATATAATAGATGTCATTATTTTCAAAATGAAAGAATATTTTTACATTTTAAGTTTCAATGAAAAAAAACATGTAAAAGTTTATGTCTAATAAAAAATAAATCTCGCGAAAACTTGATTTTTCAATTTATTTACAATTAATAAACATGTGATCCAGTCATACGACAATGAATATATCTGACACAATTTTTTCTTCTTTCCTTATATTTGATCATCAATTTTGTCGTATTTTCATTTCACGTGCTTGACAGAAGAAAAAAAACATATTCCTTTCCATTCTCTTTATCCAATCTCGTCTTCACAATGAATAACACCTACTTAAACGTGTTCGTATTCTTTGCATAAAAAATAAAAAACTTCATTTTCTATTTTTACTTTTAATTGAAGCCCATAAAATGTATAAAGTCATCACATCACTTTGGTCTAAACCAAAGTCATCAAGTAAAGCTCATTTTTCACCCAACTCAAAAGTCGATGAAGATAGTTGGGTCTTTGTTTCTGATGCAGGTATATATATATATTTTCAATTTTATTTGCAATTTAATTAATAAAATTTAATTTAATTTTTCAGTCATGGTAACTCCATCAATAAAAAATAATTTAATGACAAATAGTTGGATTGCATCACCACCTCTAATTAAAAATGATGAATCATCAACAAATGTACATAATTTTAATCCAATTGAGAATTTACTTATTGAACATGCGAGTACGAAAAATTGAATTCTATTGTTTTTTTTTGATTTGAATAAATTATCTTATGATTTAGGTATGAGTGTTTATGATCAAATCTCTTCGAAAACACGAAATAGACGTCAGAAAAAAATTATCAATGACAATAAACTTGATGAACAAGTTGAAGAAGTCGAAGAAGAAGGAGGAGAAGATGATGACGATGAAGATGATATTGATGATGATGATGATAATGAACAAATAACAATAAGTCGTCAAGTAAGCTATAGCAAATATTTCATTTCTTTTCTTTTTGTACGTAATCAAGAAATAATCAGAACCTTGATCATTTATTTGGTCACGCACACGAAAAATCGTAGATATGATTAAAAGACAATTTGAGTAAGGACATTTAGGACTCGAAAGAAGCCTATTTTTATCCGGAATTTGAGAAAGTATGATACAGTTATGCCATTTGGTGCAAGTATGAATGATACGGTAATTAATAAATTGGATGAGTTAATCATGTACCAGATTCAATTTTTCTCAGTCACGATGATAAGCATTCGATTTCATTAGTATGACAAGACATATTTTTCATTTTTAGTATCCAAATATAACATCAGTACATTATCGTAATTTGAATATATCTACTAATTCATCGGTAACAACTCTTGAATCATCGACATCATCGCTTGTTGCTCATCATCGTCATTTACATCGTTTACATCAACGACGTAAACGATCAAATAAATCATCAACATCAAAATTAGTTTTAACAAATAATGTTGATGATTCAAAACAAGTATCAAACAAAAGTATTGAACGACAACGTTTAAATCATACACGTACATCTAAGATTCTTCTTCAACAACCATCACGTTTACATCATTGAAAAGATAACCGACAAAAATAAAACATTGAATTAAATCTTTCATTTTCTTATCTATAAGTATTACAGTAACTAAAAAAAACATATAACAAAACATTTTCTCCGTGTCATTCCACTTTATGTATATTTATCATTGTGCTTCTACGATTCTTTTTCTATACCAGTGTATTTCTGTATATACGAATTGTATTTTCTTGTCTTTGTTTCCGTATACAAATATGAAGAAAAAAAAAATCACATATAGTCTTATATTTTTCTGTTATTTGCCTGTATTTTTTAGCATTCTTACATGATCTGAGAGCCCCTGGACTAAAATCTGTATTATTTCTTTCTTTCTTTTTTTTCTACCGATTCTTATGTATTTAACATTTTTTGTTCTCTCTTTTTTTTTACCACGATTCTATTGTATATGTATGCGCACCATATTTTGAAAGAAAGAATGGTAAATATAAAGAAAGAGGCTGAATGAAAGAAAAAGTAAAGAACTATGGTGTCGCCTTTTTTTTTTGTTGTTGTATGAAAAAGAAATTAACAACTGAATTTTAGATTGATATAAAATAAGACCTTGTCTATGATGATACATTTAAATCAATGTCAAAACAAGTCATAGATGGAAATTAATAAAATACATCAACATCAAGGTGATTTGCTTTGAAATAATATAGAAATATATATACATATATATATGACTACTCTTTGATCGTAATCTCTAGATTCTGACCACTTGGCAACTGACTTAGAAACCAAAATTGATAATAGTGATATGGATCATCATAAACATGAACGATCAAGTCATCGAACTTCATTTTTTGATCGATTGTGGATTGTTTCACCATCATCATCGTCTTCATCTCTTCTATCAGCACGATTTATTGGATTATGTTTTCTAGTTTTCGTTTATTATATAGGCTATGCATATTTACAAGTTTGTTTACATATTTAAATTAAATATGCTATTAATTTATATGAAAATATTTATCTAGGAATTAATGTTTACATTAAAAGGATTTGATAATACTGCTTGGTTTTTAACATGTTACCAATTTTTTGTCTATAGTATTCTTTCTTTTATTCATTTGGGTTTTGCTGGTCTCGATCAACGACGGTAGAACATATTTTTATATATCATATATAATTTGTTTTCTCGAAATTCTAGTGCAAGTTATCGTTCATATATTCTACTTGCTCTTTTAACAGTAACTACAATGGGTTTATCAAATTATGCTGTTGTTTATTTAAATTATCCGTAAGTAAATCAATTGAAATTCAAAGTGAAATATTTTTTGAAATAGTACACAAGTTATGTTCAAATGTTGTAAACTTATACCCGTTCTTATTGGTGGTATTCTTATACAAAGTAAAATTATCTTTTCTCGAGCTAATTTATTTATTTATTTTTATTAGAAAAAAAATTTAATCGTTATGATATTGCTGCTGCTGTTTGTATGTCAACTGGATTGATATTTTTTACTTTAGCTGATTCAAAAGTTCATCCAAAATTTAATTTTTACGGTAAATTAAATAGAAAATAAATACATACGATTTTATTTTTGTGGTTTTAGGTGTAATTATTATTTGTTCAGCACTTGTTGCTGATGCAGCAATTGGAAATTATCAAGAAAAAATTATGAAAGAACATCATGTTTCTAATGTTGAAATCGTATTTTATAGTTTTATGTTTGGTTTTGGATTTGTTTTATCTGGTCTTTTGATAACAAATAATTTTTTTCCAAGTATAGAATTTTGGAATAAGGTTCGATAAGATAATTTTGAATATAAAATTTAAGAGTTCTTTTTTTGCAACAATTCTAGCATCCAGGACCAACTTATGGTTATGGTTTAATTTTTTCCGTAGTTGGTTATTTAGGTATCGATATTGTTTTAACTTTAATCAAAGAATACGGTGCATTAATCTGTGTTACTGTGACAACATGTCGAAAAGCAATAACAATTGTTTTATCATTTACACTATTTTCAAAACCATTTGTTTTTGAGTATGTAGAAATTTTTTTAAATACTTATATTGAAAGATCAATTAGTATAATTAAAAACCATTCTTTTTTCTTCAAAATGATCAAATATAGATGAAGTTTTACAGACACAAGAAGTTATAACTAGTGACAGAAAAATATCATGTTTCCCACTTCCTTTTTTTTATTACCAGTTCGACTTATGTTATTTGTTAATTAGGACTCGTTAAATATTTAGAATAGCCAGTTTATCGTTGGACTCATATTTATCGAATGTTCTCTATCCGTTGCTTATCTTTATCGATAATATGTATAGTTTACATATTTCTTTTGTGGTAATGATGATAGTGTAACCAGGGTTTGACCAAATCGTAATTCATGCTCCAGATTAAACGCATGAAAGAATTCAATGAAATAGTTTGTGCATAATGAATCTGGAACCAATCAGTCCTAGTTGCAAGTATTATTTGAAGATAGTAAATATCTAATTATTTTATGAATAATTATCTGCAACTCGGGAAAGCACCATGAGTGAATCTAATAGTAGTTAAATACGATGAAAACAGGAAAAAATAAATCAAATTTAATATATCTTGTTTTAATTCTCAATGATTCTTTTTTTAGTTATATTTGGTCTGGTTTAATTGTTATTGTGGGTATTTATCTCAATGTTTACAGTCGTAATCAAACAGTATTTAATGCAAAAATAGTTTCATTAGCTCATTATTTATTTAATTTTCGTTGGTGGCCAAATATTTTAACACCATCTACGAGTCAAACATTGCCTCTTTGATGGATTGATCTGAATTTTTTTTTTCATTGTTAAAAAAAGCAGAATATGCTCTCACATAGCTTGTTTTTTTACTTACAAAAAACTTCCCGTGTCATTAATAATTTGACTTATTTATTTCTAGATGAGAATGAATTAAGAACAGAATGATTATTCATGATGACAAATTCTCATACACCGTCATCATCAATGTATCTATTTGGTATAGATTTATCTAAACACAGTCGCCTAGCACAATTTTTATTAACATCAACAGCCGTACTAGTTTTTCATGTTGCTCAAGGCTATATACAAGTACTTGAAAATAATAATAATACATAATAAATCTTATTCTATTTAATAGGAATTGATTTTACAATTAAAACCATTACGAACTTATCCAAATTATTTTACACTTGTTCAATTTATATGTTTTACAGTTTTAGCGTATACAGAACGGAGTTTATTTGGGCAATCATTAAAAAGGCGAAAGTAAGAGAATTTAGAGAGATATACAAATATCTTGACATTTCAGAAATTGACAGTATCTAAAGCAGAAACATCTATAACAAAATCACATAGAGTTCAATGTCATATCTTTGATAGAGAAAGTCTTGCTAAAGCTGACCCTAGTATATGCCTACTCAAAGTACAGTTGTTTGATACAATTAGATGATTCATAACAATTATGTTTGCAGAAGAATGTCTAGTAACCGATTTTTCTTTTCATAGAGCACCGTTACATACTTATGCATTGATTGCACTATTTACAATTGGTACGATGGCTTTAAGTAATGCAGCTGTGATGCGTCTCAATTATCCTACACATATGATGTTTAAAAGTTGTAAATTGATACCGGTTATGATTGGTAGTATGCTTATTTTAGGTATACATAAAAAGGGATTATATTTTGATTGCATAAAAAATATTTCATTGTTCAATAGGAAAACGTTATTCTCTTTATGATATCCTTGCTTGTTTATGTATGACTATTGGACTTATTTTTTTTACATTGGCTGATTCAAAAGTTCAACCTGAATTTGATTTATTAGGTAATAGAAGAAATAATTCATTTTTATTTGATTTAAAAGATTATATTTAGGTGTATGGCTTGTATGTTGTGCTTTAGTTGCTGATGCAGTTATCGGCAATGTACAAGAAAAAGCATTGAAAGAATATAAACCAAGTAATTCAGAAATGGTATGAATTTTATTATAAAAATATTTCAATTTTCGAAAGATAATATCGAAATTGTTATTTAGATACTTTTTTCATATTCAATTGGTGCGATTTATTTACTTTTATTTGAGTTAACATTTGGTTCATTGAAAGAAGCATTTTGGTTATGGTGGGCAGTACGTTCATTTTTGTTTTTGTTCACTTCATGTCTATTTTTAATTTATTGATTGTTAGTATCCGATCAAATCTTATGTTTTTACTATGATTTATTCATTTGCTGGTTATCTTGGTGTTAATTGTGTGCTTAATCTAGTCCGGCATTTTGGTGCATTGATAGCTGTGACCGGTTAGTTGATTTATAGTAATAATTTCTTTTTATGAATGACTATTTATTTTAGTGACAACATTTCGCAAAGCAATTACTGTCATTCTCTCATTCATTGCATTCACAAAACCATTTACTTTCCAGTAAGATTTGTTTTCCAAGAATCTTATTGTTTTATTCTGATGAATTCTATATTTTTAGATATTTATGGTCTGGTGCGATTGTAGCATTTGGAATTTATTTAAATGCATATGGTCAAAATCAAAAATCAATTGATAATTATACGCGTTCAATATATGATCGTTTACTGATGAAATGTCGAAGAAAAAATCAGATCCATCGATATCCACAAGAACTAGTTTAAATTATTTTATGTTATTATTTCGTTTTTCTTAATATGATAACAAATGTTTTTCAATTAATAATAAATTTTCAAATTGTTATTGTCCGAAGAATAAAAATTTAAACTCATTTTTTTTAAATCAATCTTTTTTCAATGATAGATATCGTTAGAAAAGAGGGGTTTTAATAGACCGTTAAATTTTTAATAAAGTAAAAGAAACACACAATCATAAACAAGATTTTGTTGAAATGATTTTCTGCATATGAGTTAATATCAGGATATATGTTTGGTACACATATAGATAAGAAATCGGGTCTCTTATAATTATCATTGACAAACAATGTATTACTTGCACAATCACGTCCTGGAATACAATGACTAAATTCTTGTATTCGAAATCCATAGCTCTTTAACAAAGTGACTATGTTGCCCATTTTTGAATTATTTTCTATAAGAAGATAATGTATTTGAATATTCCAATTCATAGTAAGTAACACAGATAGTTCAGCTCCTTCTACATCAAGACTAAAAAAATCGATATGAGTAATTCCAATAGCAGATAAATAGGTGCCAATAGGACCACATGCTACTTTTCGTGTTTTGTTCTTATTTTTATGCCAAGCATTTTTAAAGGATTCATCCATAGTTGCAATATCACCAGCAACAGCATTGCCTTCACCCTGAAAGTTAAATATGGAAAGAGATCTATTAATTTTTTGACAAAATTTAACATTACCAACATTTGAATATCAGTTTGTGGAAGAGAACAGATTCCAAATGGTATCTTCACAGTTTTCGTCCTATTCACACGTAGTAGTTTTCTTGCATTGTCGGGTTGTGCTTCGATTAGTACACCACGCCAATCAAACATCCGTTCGAAAAATAGAGTATTACTATAAGTAACACCATCTAATGCACCTATCTCGACGAATATACCTGGATTTCTCTGTGAGAGACTATCTTTGAAGATGTTTTTATGTAATGCTGCATCTTCACCAGATTGTGAATAATAACCTGTTTTGCTTTTAAAATCTAATGATGGACAACTCCATATTTGTCGATATAAATGACGAAGATGTCTAGGATCAAATGAAGTACTATTATACTGTGTATTATTCATCTTACTGGCAACGTCTGGTGAAATAGTTTCCGTTAAGGTTGATGCTAAATTATACTGCATGTTATTGAGTATGTTGGACGCATTCAGTAGTCTAATTTTGTTTGATTGAACTTTGACAATATATGAAAAATTCCAAATAGTATAAGCGATAAAAGTAACGAACCATATAACTATGATTAAACAAGCTAAAAAATAAGATTGTTTCATTATTAGAACGTTAATTGTAACGAATAGTAATGGTATTATTAATGCAGAAGGAATATTTGTATATTTTGCTTGACTTTATAAAAGAATTTTTTAAATATACAATTTTCTATTATAAACTATCAGCAAATATAACAGATGTTACTTTTTTCCATCTGATAATCCAATTGATAGAGCATAAATAAGATAACATAAAATATTCATTACAATAATAGAAATCTAAAAAAGTAAAGGTATAATTTGTATTTATCAATAATCCATTATTTATTCCCATTTAAAATTGTTTGAACAGCTATGCTCACTTTTCTTCCATCGCATGATCTATACAGATCGGCTTTCCTTATCCTCAACCATGACTTGTACTCTCAATTCAACATACAAATACACGTAAAAAAAACTCTTTCGTATTCAAAATGTATAGGAATGTGCTCTTTTTACAATTTTTATTTTTCTAGAATAATCACGTCAACTTTACTTTTCTCTTCTTTTACTATTATAATGATCACAATTTTTGATACGTGCGTACATGTTAAAATGAAAGAGCATAAAAAAGCGAGGACAAGTAAACGATAATTATTGTTACGTAGTGATATGTTTCTCCAATACGTTGTACTCCGTTTGATACTTGATTATTTTAACATCGACGAACTTCTCTTTCATTTAGATATCTCTTCTGATGCAATTTTTTTCACCTTGATATCTTTTATGCTATAATACTCTGTACCTGTATCTCTTTATTGATGTGTAATATCTTCTGATATTCTATATGTATCTCTCGTTCTACCTAGACAGTCATTCTCCATATATATAGCTCGCATTTCATGTAATAATACATACGATCTTCTACTTTATTATTTACCATCGTCTTGTGTGATTTATCAATAAACTTGTTCAATCCTCGAAACCATATTCTGCTTAACAGTATCAATAAATCATGAATGGAATTGTCAACAATATGTCAAATCTAATGTATCCACAGTCAAAATACTATTAAAAAACAATCGACTTGATGACATGCACGTTCTCTTCGATAGTCAATTGTTTTACATCAAATTCATGAGTTATTGCACAAGAATTTTTATACATAAATGAACTGAGCAATACATTGAAAGTCAATTACTACAAATTTCACAGTGATTTTTGACCCTAGAATATGATGTATGTAGGTTTGTAGCGGACGACTGTCTCTATTCACTACTTCATTTATAATTAAATTTTGTTGTGCACCATGAGAGAAGAATAGACTAAAAGTATTAATTGAACAGCTTTTAATGAGATCTTTCTCAATCAACTTCAAATACTATAGGATCAACCCAATACTTATTCTACTTATGAGTTTACCTATATCGTTCGATAGTTTATATTTCTCTCTTTGATACTTAATTTATTTTGTAAGTTACAATAATTTACAAAGTACATACCATACATTCTTTATAATGTTACTACTATTGAACGGCAAAACAGAGAAACTTGTAGCTGTCATTATTTACTAGAGAACAATCAGGGAACGTACGTCGATATATACAAATAATTTTCGGAAGTGCTTTTTGAAGTCAATTTCAGTCGATGAAAGTGACGACAAATGAGTGATTTTTCTTGGAAGACATTTTTTTCAGTAGATGTGTACTCCAATGTGTTCTGTTCAGAATTGTATTTAACCCTTTCCGGCCAGATGTTGCCAAATGGCAACATTTTTGCCGTAGGGGGATACGGCATTTTTAAAAAAGTTGGCAGTGAAAAATTGATCCCTATAACTAAACAGCAAAGAATATATAGTAAGATAACTTTTTGCTTGTTGTCTTCTGGTAGCCGGCTGTAAAGGGTTAAACAATTATATGTTAAGTTCAGGAACAAATCTATTGTCATCTTTCGATATTTTCGCCATAATATACATAAAAATAAAATACATTAAAAATAAACGTTTCTTTTTTGTTGAAACCCATTTTTCATAAGAGATTCAAATGTGTCTTTCAATATTTGCTAATACAAATGATATTATAAGAGTTATATAAAATCACGAATCAATAAATGTTCAAATTTGCAAAAGTAAAGACGATCTTTTCCATTAACGCTTACGATAATAACAACATTCAGGGGAAAATTATTATTAAGAAAGTAACGAATAATGTGGTCAAGCAAAAGATGATAGAGAACAAATAGTAGACAAATTATTGAAGAAATTTATGATACAAGATATGAATAGAATTTTAATGTGTTAAATATCATTATTGGAGATAAGAAAACATAAAGGAAGGGGATCGTTAAGTCATAAAATCGGTTCCTTATCAAAATCAAATTTTTTATTTTTCAAAGTTTAATATAAATGTGAGAAGTCGATTCTCATTCAATCTATGGACGACTAATCTAAAACTCAAGATCGTATATCACTTATAGGATCATACTATAGATATCTCATTCTCTTTCAAATGGTGTATCTTAACAATAGTCGCTTTCCCTTGGGCGTAATATAAATTTAGGGAACGCCACGAATCGATAGTATGGATGATGATATGTGTAAATGACTGTTCATTCGTCTCTTATCTACACCCACACTCATTCTTATCATCAATGATGACGATTATATAATCATAATTGAATTAAAAAGAGAGTTTAACAACGTCATATCGATATAGATAATTAAAACAAAAAGAATATGTAGTTTATATAAGAACATAGGAGAAAGAATTGTATCAACATTTTATTCTGTTTGACTGTGTCACTACTTCAATATCATGTAACTTTGAGAAATAAAAATATATAACGCTTTGTCACTGCTACATAAACATTCCTTATCTTTGTTTAGTCATCAAATCTTCTGCATTTTGATGTGTTCTGTCATTAACTATATATATAAAGTCTTTTAGTCCAAATATACACTTTGAAAAATGTATTTCAAGGTAAATTATTTCTCTACTATTAAAAGTATGATATATTAGTAATCATTTGCGTTGTATATTCTAGTTTATCATTTGCTTTATATTATTTGTTGCAATTACTTGTAATTCACTTGATGATTGGCAGAAATTTAAACATGATTATAATAAACAATATAAAACTGTTGAAGAAGAAGCCGAACGTAAACAAATCTTTTTAAGAAATATGGAAAATATGAAAGAATATCAAAGAACTCATCCAGATGCAACATTCACTATGAAAATTAATCATTTAACTGATCGACGTTCCAAAGTAAGCATAATACTAAAACATAAAATTTTTAAAAACAAAAATTAAAATTTATCCTTTAGGAATTAGTGACTGGCTCAAAATTCTTTTCCAATATTCATTCTGAAAAAAATCAAAAATCAATTCAAATCGAATCAAATGTACCAACATCATTAGATTGGCGTGATAAAGGGGTAATTACAGGGGTATATGATCAAGGACAAATGGGAACAGCTAGCGCGATTGCTGCTGTTGGTGAGTAATATTCATTATTTTTCATATATGAAAAAGGTTTTTGTTTTGTAAAATATATTCAGAAGTTATTGAAAGTTATCATGCTATTCGAACAAAAAATCTTGTGAAAGGTAGTATTAGTCAAGTTATTAATTGTTGTCCAGAAGATACCAACATTTTTGATTGTATATTAACGAAATTGGGTGGTAGTATATGTGGAGCAACTTTCTACAATTCATCAAGCGCTGCATGTGATCGAGACGCTTGTCAACCAGTTGCTGCAGTATGAAATGATCTTATTTAGATTTATTGATACAAATAAATAATTTCATTTAGTTTAATAAAATAAACAGATTCGAACCAGCTAATGAAGATACAATGTTAACAATTATTCAAGAGTCTCCACTTTATATTGGTATTGATGCTAGTCAAATAGGATTTGAAATGTATACCCAAGGTATATGCAATCATTGTTGATCATTATTGATTTTCATTATACAATCATTTAGGTGTTTATCGCGATAAGGGTTGTTCACAAACAACGATTGATCATACGGTATATTGCAAATAGATTTGTTAATTATTATTTGTAAATGTCTTTATAGCTGCAACTTATTGGTTATGGTGAAAGTTCTGGTATTCCTTATTGGTTATGTAAAAATAGTTGGGGTAAGAATTCATTGATATGCATTTAATTTGAATTGTGAAATATATGTTTAGGTACTAACTGGGGTGATAGAGGTTATATACGTATCGAACGTGGTGTAAATACGTGTGGTATTGCAAATATTGTCGAACAAGTCGAATATATAGATGTAACAGATGTAACAGACGTAACAGACGTAACAGATACAACAGATGTAACTGGTGATGCCGTCCGACAATTTACTTTCAATGGTCTATCTTTAGCACTTTTTTGTTTTGTTTTACATCTTTTTTCAAATTTATAACTATTTTTCATTTAAATAAATCTATGCTTAATTTACATTTTTATTTTTAAAATTTTAATCTTAACTTGAGAAAAAGAAACTCTTTGAATTCTTGTTGTATTATATTTAGATAGATCTTTAGTACTTATCGTTTGAATGACCGAGCTAGCAAATATTACTTTTTTTGATGATGATTATGTCTATAGAATTTTTTCTTTGATCGATGTGATGCATAACATAATATATTTTCTAGTTTTATTCTAAATATCTTGATTTGTCTATAGATATATCAATATGACCATGTTATGAATACGTGAGACAACATTCATCAAGCATTTTATTCAGTACTTGACATTAAAATATTAATCAAGAGAAGATCATGCAAATAAATATCATCTGTTCTTCTTGGATTATTATTCTTTAGAAGAAAAAAGAAATCTAGTCTTCTACTAAATTACGATTCAGACATAAAAATTATTTTTACATCTTTAGTAATTAATGTCACTAGGACGAGCAACTATTTATAAATCTTTTCAAAAATATAAAATTCTGTCGTAAAAATAGTAATTTTATTAGTCTATGAATATTTTTAGAACTATAATTTACTACGTGAGAAAAACGAGATTTTTTTATCTATTCATCATATGAATGTCTCTTTTAATAAAATTGATGTCTATTTGAATTACAATATAGTTCACGTCATAAACTTATACTACTAAAAGATTTATTTTATATAATTCATTATACTGAATGACAGTTTGAACTGTCTATGAAAATTTTTAATTTCATATATTCCAAGTATTAATATTTGTTGTATTGTGCAAAGAGGTAATACAATATTTAGTAATAATCTATTCAATACAATGTAAAGGTTAGAAAAATTTGAAATCATTCTCGAGAAATGAGTACATGCATGTTTTCAATGTATCTATTTATATAAATGAAATACACGTTCATATATTAGACGTAGGAGATGAAACATAACCTATTGAAAATGTTGCACTCATTCACAGCTGTCAAAGTCTTTTGAGAGTAAGAAGGTAAGTCAAAGTTGTGTATATATATTTAATTTTAATGATTTTTATTCATAATTGAGTATCGTATGAAGTATGAATATTTATAGTATTAGTCTAGATTATTGAAAGATATTATTTTACATAGCTGAATTTTTTAGCTTGGTTATTATTTAGTGAGGCAAGTCGGAAATAGAGCGACACGTTTCTAGACATCGTGTCATTTATTTATTAAATTGAGAGATATAAAAATGAGTATGTGTTTTCATTACAGTCATTTGATCTTGTATTTATAATATGAATGTTTGCTAGATTATAAAGTTTGTTCAAAAGCTCTTCGTTCAATAAAATCAGAATTTGTGATGTATTATTTTATATATAACCTTTGTAATAGAATCAGCACTTTTATAGTTCTTATCAGTAGACTACTGAGTATAGATCTATTGTTATGAAAAGAGGTTTTTAATGGAAAGTGAACTAAAGCATACCTCCTGAGATATATAATACGATGACAATATTCTCTTTTCTGACATTGTACGAGTACAAATTTTTTTCAGTTGAATGAATTTAATAAAAATTGTCATGAATATAACTATCTTAGAACACTTAAGAATCAAATCTTCTTCTTCATATGCAATAATTAGAATCCAAAGTAACTATCTATATTTTTTTTTGATAAAAACTAGAATAGCTATCCATTATACACTCTAAAAACATTGATTAGCCAACTAATCATAGACTTTATTAAATTCTGTAGGAGTTCCTATTTACCCTTTAGGTTATTTTATTCGTCTAAAAGAAAGGAAAACAAGAAATACATTATTCATCTTAAATTATTTTTTCCATAATGCATCTTTTTTTTTTTGACAAGTGCTCAATCAATATGTAAAGTCTATTTTCTCTGCAAGGTACATACTGTTGAATAAATAAGTAGTCTATTATAGACAATTGATTATCTAAATTCGATTAGTAGAACTTGTTTTTCCCATTAAACAAATACTTACTTGACGCCAAAAAAAGAATAAGACAAATGCAAATAGTTCGTATTTCCTTCGATCAAATATAACTAAGTACATCATGTGATTATCATTTTTTCTTCTTCTTCTTCTTCTTTCTTTCATTATTTTGATAGATAGGTAAAAAAAGATTACTAAGCGTGCATGTCTTCGATCATATCAACATCTCGAGGGTTTCTACTACTTTTTGAAGAATAAAAACAACGGAGAATCTGGCATATTGATCTTTTGTTAAGCATCAGATAAGAACAAATATAAGTAAGCTAAAAACATGAGACATATTTTTATCAAATTAAAAACTGTTATGTAGTTCAAAACTTCCACATACATTAATAATTAATAGACTTAATCTTCTATTGTTTATATATCTATAAAAAGTGTGTTATTACTCTATTTCTTCTTCATATTCCAATTAGTATTGTGGTTAGAAACATGAAATGAATATCTGTATTTTTCTTTGTTTAGAACTATCTGATAGAATGTTAAATTAGTTTATGCATGATATGTCAAAGAGTATGATATATATATATATATAAGAGAGAAAAAAACATAATCACAATACTCCGCTTTAATAAAAACAAGTCTTGCATGTTTATTCATTTTGTAAAAAAATTATCAGTTGTAGTTTCCAGAAGAATTCATTTTTTTGGTTTTAGATTTTTTTTGAAAGATAAAAATAATAATCATGGATAATAGAAATGAATGTCCAATGATATATCAAGGTATATTTTCAAATCCATACGTTATTGAACATATTATATTAATTCTTTATTTATTAATACTTATTATTGGTCTTGTGGGTAATATTATGACAATAATTATTATTAAATATAATGCACATTTACGTACACCAACTAATTTTTATTTATTAAATTTAGCTGTTTCCGATTTAATGATACTTATGTGTAATTTACCATTAGAAATGCTTGAAATTTATAATCGTCAATGGCCATTATCAATAGTTTTTTGTAAACTAAGAAGTATATGTGCTGAATTTTTTACTTGTTCATCAATATTAACTATCTTAGCATTTACATGTGAACGTTATTTTGCTATAGTACGTCCAATACATTTACGTCGATTAAGTCATTTTCGACGATCACAAACTATAATTATTATTATTTGGTTAATATCATTAGGATTTAGTCTTCCAGTTGGACTTTTATATGAAGTACAGAATAATCATACTGAATCTTATCTAAAGAGTTCTATGGATAAAACAGTATATACTAGTTGCAAAGCTTGTGTACCAAAACCAAGTTTTGCCAAACTTTTACCAATAATTTTTATAATAACATCAATTTGTTTCTTTTATTTTCCAATGATTATTATTGGAGCTATTTATATATTTATTGTTCAAGCTCTACGTCGTGTTAGTAAATATGAAGAATGTTCAAATCCATATGAAATTAGTACACCATCACATTCAAGTAAGAAAATAAATTTCAAAACATAATACATCTATTAATTTATATTATTTAGGTATATCAAATAAAGAAGCAGTTGAAATACAACAACAAAACGCTCATATTAATTCATATACATGGTTAAAAATACGTGCACGTTGTCAAGCTCGAAAAGTTGTTGTTAAAACTCTAGGTAAAATATTAAATAAGTGTATAGATTTAATAAAGATTTCAACTATGAGAATTTATTGACGAACAAGAAAAATAAAATTACAGATCTTTGTATTTCTTCAGTAATATATGAAAATCTATTGAAAAGAAAACCTCGATTTACATGTACATCTCGGCAGATCAAATTCAATTTTGACACGTGCATTTCATTAAAAAAAACGTGTAAAACTCTTATTATTAATATATCTTTATCTATTTTTATTTCCATTATTTAATTTTTAATTAAATATTCTATTTCTAGTGGCTGTTGCTAGCGCATTTTTTATGTGTTATGCGCCATTATATTTACAACGTTTATTAATAGCTCTAACAACTTTAACTAATTCTCAAACTGATGCATCATCACTTGGAAATTTTATGGCTTATTTATATGTTATATCTGGTATAACATTCAATTTGGGTTCAGTTATTAATCCAATACTTTATAATGTTGTTTCAAATAAATATCGACGTGCATTTCGAGATTTAGTTTGTTGTCGTTTAATAACTCGAAAAAAATTAAATAGAAATAATAGTCAAACTTTATTTCAAAATAATCGTTCACAAAAAAAAGTTTTAGAAGCAGATAAATGTAACAATATCAAATTTCATCAAAATACCAGTTCAAATAGTACTAAACAACAACTAGCATTAAATACAATAAAAAAACCAATGTTTGTTCATGCATATTCATCTAAATCAAAATCATCAGCAATGTCGTTTCGTCATAAACTAAACGCTTAAATTTTTATAAATAATATGTAAAAACTATATAAATAAAATGTACTATTTTCTTAAACTAATACTTTAAATATTTTTCGCATCATATACGATCATTTTGGATTAGGTTTAATAAACTTCTGTTCTGATTTTGAGAATAACATTTGCACCTGACAAAAAACATTAGAAATGTAATCAGTCATGTATAGATGCTAAATTTCGAGTTATGATATAGATTTGTATTTGAAAATTAAGATTGATATTTGAACGATGTATCTGTAAATCATTGATTAAAATCGAATAATTAATTACGTATAATTTATTTTGTCTAGGTACAATTTTAAAACCCTTTCAGGACCGTGGTACAACGTATGTACCACTTACCCTGGAGAAGGGTCCAGGCTTTTAAAAAAAAATTTTTTTTTTAGTCGCGGTTAAAAAGATAGTTTAAGAATAATACACTGACCGTGAAAAAGATAAAAAGCAGAACTGGCCCTGAAAGGGTTAAATTTTTTGTTGTATCGTTAACTATGATCTATTATGTCGTTCTATATCAATTAATGCTCTGTCATGGTCTGTTAAGATATATCAGGTAAATTTGTATTCGGATGAATAAATCTCTATGAGAAAGTTGAGTATATAAAATATAGATACTACGCAGAATGAAGATGAAAATGTCTTGATGAATTAATGATAAAAAGTAAGGAGTGTCATATTTCACTTCTACTTTTAATAATTTGAATAATGAATAAATGTTACATAAATAATTTCCATATCTAAAAGCGACAAGATTAGATTGTGATTGTTGTAAATCAACGGTTATATATAACTCATAATGCGCATTTGTTCACTGATATGATTACTTATTAAACCATCTCAAAAGGTAGTATTCAGTCTTATTACATTTCACAATCCGATCTCTGGTTATATATCTAAGAAAGTAAGACAAATATTTCCGCATACTCGTTTTAACATCCAATTAGGCGTATAAATCTACAAATTATCTTTAATGATGTAACAGGAAATAGGTTATCCTATTTATAATGATATACATCCTTATTTTCTTTTTTTGAAAATTAGTAACTATTAAGTTGAAACGTCTATTATTAAAATTATCTTGTATTTTTAATTATAATACAATAGAATTATCTTAAAACAAAAACAGGAACAAATTTTGTTTCCTCTCATAATTATAATTAACATCTGTCAGCACTACTTAACAAAAATGATGTAAGTAATGAATATTTTTAAAGTCAATATCTTGAACTCGTTCCTTTTTTTTTTGTTCCAGAAATAGTCACTTGAGATTTTTTGATGTATTTTCTGTGTCTTCCAATTACACTGAAATCTCTCATGTGTAATAACAATAAACTAATTGCATTTACATGCAAAAAGAAGCCGAAAAAAAGAATTATGACCGCGAAGTATAAACTATGATCAAACTGCGATAATCCAGCTTGATTTTTATCTAACCATTTGTATGCATGTATACTATCATGGGGAAAAGTGACGTTAGCTAAGTAAACAGATTCCAAGACAAAAAAAACGCAATAAAACCTAAAGATCACTTAGAGTTTCTTTTGACACTCATAGCTCATTTTCTTCTTCTCCTTTCTTTCGTTTTTCTACTACGAAATATAATAACATATGAAAAAAAAATAATAAAAGAAGGAAAGATAGAGAAAAAGAGAACCACTACATTCCAATCAAGCGCAGTAAATAAAAATAGTCAGTATGAATATAAATGAAAATGACAAGCTTATATTAGTTATATATGCATGTATGCGATTGTTTTAGATTATTATTACAAGAATAGAACATGTCTTGGTATCATACAGCTTTACTTAGTACTGACCGACCACCATATCGTATAATTGCAAGTTGTAAACGTTTTTCACGACGTTTGAGTACTGGCATTTTTCGAGCTATTCGTCGTCCACAAGCATCAGGTAGATATTTATTTGAGCGAGAATATGTATGTTTGATTAGTAGTTTCTCAAGAAAAATAAACAAAAGAAATATTTCCTATTGAGATTTAGTCTATATTGTATTTTATGAATATAGATATTTTCATAATTACTCAAAAATATTTTATCGAAGTTATAGTCTATAAAAACTAATTTGTACTTAAAAGAAAAAATCCTATCATTCTATGGTATGGATAAAAAGTATTAATTCAAGCTGACGTCTATCAGACCTTGTTTCTTTTATCAGTCTTGAAAAAATTAGAATGCGACGATCGTCTACTTAAAGATATGACATGATGTAGCTCTTTTTTGTCCTACAAAAAATGATTGTAGAAAGAACAGAAATGAACCAAAAGTTTGTTTTATGTTCTAATCATGTAGATAGACATCTTTGATCATAGCGTAAAGATTTGTTTTAACTGAATCATAATTGTATTAAAAATAGATTTTGACACGTACAGATATAAATTCAATAGTCAATTGAATACTAATTTGGCGTACACACTATTGTAAATTTATCAACAAAATTGTTATTTATATAATAAAAACTGCATTTCGTGCTAGAAAAATATTATCGTATATTTATAAATTAATAACTGTAAGATTAAGTATCTTGTTATTCAACGAAAGAATGCTACTTGTTATTTATTCTTCAAAGGAGTTACATATTTGTGATAAAAGTCATTCATGATATTGTTGACAATATCATATACCCAATTGGAAACAGGCGTATGACCGACTTTTTTTTTGTTGCTGTGCACTATCATTCGTGTGTATCTCTGTTTGGTTAATCCATATGTACTGATGCTATACACTTGTACAGAACTAACGATCATAATTGAAAAGAGCGAACAAAATGTCATCGACTCGTCTTCAATGACAACCTTTTATCGTTCTTATTCTATGATATAAATGTAATAATCAATAAGAGAAATATATGTACATATGTAACGATCGTGAATTGCCCAAAAATATTTTCATACTTAAATGGGTGCTAATGTAGTTGCACTTTCTCATAGACATAGTAGTTTAAATTTTGGTCGACGTAAAAGAACTGCTCGAGGTATGTATAATCATACAGTTTTTTCTAAATTCTTGCTTTTTTTCAAGACACTTATATAATATTACTTTTGAATATAGATGCACAATTGGATGTATTGCTTTCAAGACGTTTTCAACATCCTCGATCAATAGAAGAAATTATGAAATGTACACGTTTTTCAAAATCTGAAATTCGACTTCTTTATCGAAGTTTTAAACAAGTAAAAACAAAATCTGTTTCGTTTAATATTACTTCTTTTTTCACTCTCATTTAAAAGCAATGTCCTGGTGGAAATGTTAGTGAAGAACGATTACGAGCAATTTATGTTCAATTTTTTCCACAAGGCAGTAAGGAGTAAACTTAAACAATAAATTCTATAAAACTGTTAATTATGGAATTATAGATGCAGTCAAATATGCTCGATATTTGTTTTCAGTTATTGATCGAAATCATAAAGGAACATTTACATTCGATGTAAGTTTTGTATTGAAATTTAGTTTGATTAAATAAAATTTTTTTCTTTATAGGATTATATTTTAACATTATCGATTCTATGTCGTGGAACAATTGACGAAAAATTACGATGGATTTTTCGTTTTTATGATATAAATAGTGAAGGATATTTAACACGTGAAGTGATATTTTCTTAAACAATGAAGATCTAACATATTATATAAACATTTTTAGGATTTTCGTGATGTTATTTCATCACTTTATGATCTTCTCGGTTCATCAGTTCAACCAAATATCGATGAACGTCATATTCAACAGCATATTGATGATATATTCTATGTATGTGAATAAAAAATTTGAATATTATGCTATATTTTTTCTTTATAGGGTATTGATTCAATGCATAGTGAACAAATAACAGTGGAAGATTTTATTGCTTATTGTAAGCGGGTTAGTATTATAATAAACATTGAAATTAATTTTTTACCTTATCTTTATTTAAAAAAAATATATATATAATGCAATATTCTTTTTATTTTAGCGTCCACAATTAATTGAATCAATCCAAGAATTAACATATTGTTTATAGAATAAAACCATTCGCTTTTGGAATATGAAGATAATTCATCATAACTCGTTCACGTGCAAGAACATCAGGTGGATACGGTGTATGTCGATCATTAAACTGAACATTTGTTGTTGGTTGTGACGATTGTTCTCGTCTTTGTCGATGACGTTGATTATATATTCGATTTTCATTTTGTACTATCGTCTCGTTATTTTCATTATGCTTATATACTGATTGATGTCTATTTTGATTATCAGATGAATATTCATCAATAGTAGTAATTGAATCAGAATGATGTTTTCGTATTTGTGGTGGTGGCGGTGGTTGTTGTTGTTGTTGTTGAACTTTTCTTTTAGGAGATTTGATCACTGGACTTTTTACTGGAATTGGTAAAGTTGTTGATAATACTGATGATACTGATGAAGATATGGAGGATACAGATAATGTTCGACTATCAGATGAAGCAGATGATGTCCTTGAACGAGTATCTGTAGGGCTAATAGTATTTGAACGACGATATCGCATACATAATAAATAAATAATAAGAAAAGAAACTGTTATAAATGCTATACCTGCTAATATAGCACTTATAAGTACAAGAATCGATAATGTATTTCCGGAAAATGGTTCCATAAGTATTTTTTATTTAAATGTGTTGTCGTTTAAACTCTCGTTTTTTTCTGTCTTCCTTTTATCTTCTGATAAAATATGTCAACATATATACATAAAGTAATCTTATTTCATATCGTTCTTTACCTTTTTTTGTTCCTATGAATATCTGTCATAAGTATTGCATCAAGTATGTAAATTTTTCAATGTCGAATTAATATTATATCTATAAACAGAACTATCATTAGAGAAGAAAGGCGATTATGTTACACAAAAATTTCGTTCTTATATAATTTATTGTTGTTACAAAGAATATTATCTTCATAAATCAATAATTCTTATCATAATAATCGTAAAATCTAATTGTATACTTATGGAATTATAAAAAATCGTATTAGAATATCTAATTCTTTCATTTATCTCAGGATAATAAATATTTTTTATACAAGTGTATTTGTCAAACAAATGTAAAAGAAAGATTTCACATATAAATGAACTTAGAAAACGAGGTCCGACAAATGTTTGCGGATAAAACTGATCTAATTCTTTTTTTTGAAGTTTTTATATCGTGATAGAAATTTTCAGATCAGTAGCATTCGACAATATGAACAATAACTTCATTTGATCTCGAAGTATATTTATAAATAAATGGAATTTTTCTATAATAATTGATCACGCTCTTTCCAGGTCGAACGACACGATCCGTAATACTGTGCCCGTGATTACAGGGTGACACGGTTCATTTTTGACCGTGAAGCCACCGTTTACATTTCGAAAACGTATTGTAAACGACTCCGTTTTGATTAAAATATCGCGAGATAGAATTCAAATATAAATTATATTTAGTCTCTTGAAAATTTTGCAAAACTGAGATGTTTTCATAGAGAACAAAAAAAAAAACACTTCATCATATATCATTTGAAAAAGGTTATCAGAAGTCTATAGTAAATATTACAATGAGAATTTTTTGACATAAAAATAACTTTTACAATTCATACTATAGTGACATCTATAGTAGAATTTTAATTTTGAAAAAACGAAAGAATAAATCAAAATTATTCAGTATATTTAAGTAGATAAAATTAATTTTTTGAAATATGTCATAAATAATTATTGTTCTGTTATGCAACTTATAGTATTATCAGACATTCAATTGAATTCCATTCATTCATCTACGTCATTTCTATGTGGGCGGATATGTGATTTATTTTTTTTCCTATTTTCTATTTTTCTTCTTCTTCTTCTTTGATCTGAAACATGCTACAAGAAGATTTCAATGATGATAGATTACCCATGACTGGTCGGTTAACACCGATCGGTGGTGCTTCATCCGATACTGAATTTGGAAGAAGGTTTGTTAAAAGAAATAAATTTTTCAATAATTATATAATTTTATTATTCTGTAGTGTTAATGAAGAAGTGAATGAAAAATTAATTTTACTTGAAGAACATGAACGATTAAATTCATCACTTGCAGCATTAACACGTCATTTTGCACATGTACAATTACGTCTTCAACAAGTTGTTGGTGCACCAACAACTGAAGATCGCGAAGTATAGAAAAACGAAACTTTTTTAATTAATCTTTAATTAAATATTCTTTTATTTTAGAGTTTACTTTTAGAATTACATGAATTTGCTTCAAGTGGTATACCTGATGTTATGTGTCAATCATCAATGTATACAAATGACTGTACAAATGAAGAATTAATTGAGAATGAAAAATGTCGTGAAAAAGAATTTATCAGTGAATTAAAACAGAAATTAGATGAATTAGAACGTTATGCAGCTGCATCTGGTTCATTAGAAGGTGCACCAACATCTGTAACGATGGAAAAACAACGTGTATTAATTGATCAACTACGTACAAAACTTGATTTACAATTTGATGATGCTGCAGTTTCGAAATTATCGTTCGTATTGATTTATGAAAAGAAAAAAGAAAGAATTTGTCTATATAATTGATTTTGATTTTAGAGCGGAAGAATTAAGAAAACTTGTCGATCAAGCTATTCATCAGGTAGATTAACTCTTTTATTCCTGACATATGTCAAACATATATTTACTTACTTATTACCTATACATTTATCGATATAGTAATCAATAGTATGATTAATGATCGAGAACTAATAAGACATTTTGTAATATTGTATACAGGTGAGAGTTGACAAAAAGAAAGAATCGATTAGGCTAGTTAATTAATTGCTTATAAATGCTACAACAAAGATCGTAATAAGCTAAAACCAAATACAATCGTTATATGACGAATAAGAAAACGATGATTATTTTTAGTTAACCAATCCAGTAAAACTAAAAGAAAATTTGATAACTCAAATGCGTACACAAATAAATGATCTTGAAAAATTTATTGAATTTCTCAAAGGTAAACATAAGAAGTGAATTCTTTCTTGAAATATGCATTCAATTTTGTATTATTTAGCTGATTCTGCAAATGCAGCAGCAGCTGCTTCTTCTCTTTCACCAAACGATATGAAAAGCATCGAACCATATAAATCATCACCAAATAAATCAAATCCAGTTCGTTTTATATATATATATTTTGTTCTTAATTCAATAAATTAATCGTTCTTGTTTTAGACAACAATGAATTCATTTAAAATGCATTCGACAACAAATAAATTTTCTAATGAAAATCGTGCAAATTTTTCTCAAACAATGAAAAAAGTTGTTGTATTAACTCAACTATATACATTTTTATTATTAACATGTGGTACACGTACTATGCAAAAGAAATCAAATCAACCGACACCTAATATGAAAAAAGATATTGTCGCAAAAAAACATTTTGGGTATATAAAGAAATTTTTCTTTTCATAAATAAGAAAATCTTTTTTTTTTCTTTTAAAGTGATCTTCGAGCAAAACTTGAAGTAGCAATCGATAAAGTTCTTAATGCAATACGATTAACAAATACATTTACACGACACAATCATGGTTATACAGATGACGATGATGAAAATAATTCATCATCAGTTACAACAAGTGATAATGATGACGTAAGTTTGAAGTAATAAAACATAAAAAAATTCTAATATTTTATTTTAGGAAGATTATGATCAAAATGCTGTTGTTCTAGCTGTTAGACAAGATCTTGCACCAGCTCTTCGTGCATTATTGGAACATGGTCTATATGAAGTATGTTTTAAAAATAAAAACATTTGTACAAAAATTTTATTATATTTTTCTTAGACAAATTATTCAACATCTTTAGCTGTTTGGGGTTGTTTTGCTACGAGAGCTAGTCACGCAGCTACAAATGATACAATGCATGCTTGGAAATTATTTTTAAAATTTTATGAAATGAAAGTAAGAATTAAAACTAAAAGCGGATATTTATATTAGCACCGATAATTGAATTCACTAACGAAGAAATCTTTATGATATATATGAAAGAACAGACTAATATATTAGTTACTATAGAAACAACTATTATAACTGAAGTGTTCTCGTCACTTGACATGAATGAGAACTGCTCTGTTTCAAATTATTCTTGAGAATACATCTACGCATGAATGAAAGATCTGATACAGATCATACCATCTGTTTATCACTATATGCTTAAATGGCATTGTATATTTTTTTTGTAGCGTGGAAATGAATTTGCAAATAGTCCAGCTCGTAAACTTTCCGAATCATTTTCACTCGATGTTATTGGTGGTAAACCGATTACATTAAAACAAGTATAATTTTATTTTTCTCTTAATTTAATATATCTATCTATCTATCTATCTTTTAAAGTGTCTTCTAAGTGGTATTGATAATATTGTTAAATTACATGAAAAACATAGTAAATCAATGGATAGTTGTTTTAAATCTTTTTTATGTTATGCATTAAAGTAAGTAAATTAACAAGAAAAATACAATTATACGAGATAGAAATTTTTTGTTTAGTGAAAAGAAACTTGTTTCATTTCTTCGTATTATTCTCAAAACAGTTCCATTAGTAGAAAATTATTATCAACCTTGGAGTTATACAAAAACAACAGGTAGAAGAAAATTATAAATTGAATTTTTTTTGAAAAAATGTCATTTTTCTATTTGAGGTTTTAATGATGCACTTCATTCACTTGATCGTTTAGCTACAGTTGATTTTCATTTACCAATAAATGTATCTGTTCGTCGTTTTATGAATAATCGAGATCTAATTGAATAATATTTTTTTTCTTCTTCTGTATAATGTATCTAGTCATTCTGTTTCCTTTCTTTCTTTGTTTGTTGGTGATGGATGACAAAAATTTTATTTATATATACATACATATATATTGTGAATCTTACTTATACATAATTTATTTTTATTATTTATGAAAAAAAAAATCTCGTTTATTTATTGATTTTTTTTCTGTTCTTATTACGTCTATTTCTCTAGTCTATTATGGGTTAAAGGACAGTGAAGATTGTAGTCATTCGTCAATATTTATTATTATTCATTTTGATTCCACTGATTTCATTCGTGTTATTTATTTTATTTCACGTTAACAGTTTGTTGTTATTGTTGTTGTCGTTTTTTTTGTCCGTGCATATTTTAAAAATAAAAGATTCATTATGTAATTAAATAATCGCCTTATTTCTTAAACGATAACGAAAGAAACAAGTATGTATTTCATTTTTTTAGATTAAATATAAATGTCAACAATTACTTTTGGTCAAATTATTGTTGGTCCACCAGGCAGTGGTAAAACAACATATTGTGCAGCTATACAAGATTATTTTAATAAATGTTTAACTGGTTCTAGTAGTCGTCATGTTTATATTGTTAATCTAGATGCAGCTAATGTTGATATGCCATATGAATGTGCAATTGATTTAGTTGATTTAATCACCGTTGATGATGTTTGTGATAATCTTAATTTAGGTCCAAATGGTTCATTAATGTATTGTATTGAATATATTGAAAATAATATTGATTGGTTATTGAAACGTCTTGAATTATTAATCAATAAACATTCATCATCATTACCACCACCTTATATTCTTTTTGATTGTCCAGGACAAGTTGAACTTTATACACATCATGGTTCAATTCATCGCATTATTGAACAATTATTAAAAAAATTAAATTTTCGTCTTTGTTGTGTTAATTTAATTGATTCATATTATTGTTCAAATTCATCGAATTTTATAAGTGCAATATTAACATCATTATCAATGATGTTACATTTAGAATTACCACATGTGAATATATTATCTAAAATTGATCTTATTGAACGATATGGTTTATTAGAATATAATATTGATTTTTATACTGAAATATTAGATTTATCATATTTAATGACAAATAAAAATTTTAATAAAGATAAATTTCAACCAAAACTAGCAAAAAAATATCGTAAATTAAATCAAGCATTATGTGATATTATACAAGATTATAGTCTTGTTTCCTATATACCATTAAATGTACAAGATCGTTTAAGTATTGAAAAAGTTAATAATACAATTGATAAAGCAAATGGATTTATATTTGGACATTTAAAAGATGATGATTTATCACAACGAACAAATTTAATGTCCAATGCATTTGGTGTTGAACAATTTGAATATGCTAAAACAGCAAAAATTAGAGAAAATTATACATTTGTTGATAATGATGAAGATTGAATTTTCTTTTTTTGTATTCATTTTTCTTTTTCAATAAGCCGATTTATCGGAAAAATAAATCACTTGTTGATAAGATATTCTTTTCTATACAAACGGCTTGAGTCAAGACGAGATCTAGATCGATGAATGTATTGATCGAGTTAAGTTTTGTAACTTTTCTTTTAGATAGATGGAGAATGATTTTACTCCCGGTGCTGATCCAGAAGAAGTATAAATGAATATAAAATATAATAATAAGAAGAAAATTATTTGTGTAAATTTTAATCTAGATTAAACATTATCTTCATGGTTTAGGTTTAATACCACTCGATGAATATTATGTACAATTAAAGAAGTTATTAAAACGACAACGGCATTCATCAAAAATGACCATTGACCAAATTCAAAGAAAATTAGCTGAAAATGGAATTTTTAAAGATGATTTATCTCGAAATCCACCTGTAATTCGTATTACTCGAATATTTATTTAATTAAAAAATTTTCACGCTCTATTTAGATATTACATCCGCGAAAACGAACTTCCTTTTCTCCAGTTATCACGCGTAAAAGAGGTATAAAAAATATCTAATATCATTTATGATACCATCACATTTTTGTTTTTTAGGAAAAGCAATTAAAAAACGAACACCATCAGCTACGCAAGTGATAACTACCACATCAATTACATCAACAAGTACAATATCAGTACGAAAACAAATTACATATATTTTTTTTTTCTCATTTCAATATTTTTTTAGTCAACAGATGAAAAATCAAATGAAACAGATACAATTGATTATGATCAACCATTAGATTTACGTTTACGACCGAATTTATCAAATAAAACTTAACAATAAAATGTATTCTATATACTTTTGTTAATATTTTGTTAGATATACATGTTTTTGTTTTGTTGAAAATAATATATATATATCAAAAATTCAAAAATAATTAAGAGCTTTTTATCTGATATTTTGGTCATAAATAGAACCTAATAAGACTAGAAAAGGCCTTTCTTTTCGAGTTACCATCATTTTACCTAATTCTTCACTTATGACAAAATCAAATTATAGAATCGTCCACATGTATGTCTTATGACCATTATCGTCCGTGACGGGAATATTTGTTTGGGCTACGATAATGGTCATAAGTGAAAAATGATCGTAACTCGGAAAGAAAGGCCTGTAGGCCCTTATCCTTTTAGGCTTTTCTAGTCTTATTAGGTCCTAAATATCTACGAGTATCCGACAAACGTAATGATCGTATAATATGATTTCATTCTACTGGATTCTC